GAATGAGTTGTACTTTAAAATAACACTGAAAATTCAGGAATTACATTGTTTCATTATGATAATAGTGAGAATTTTCAGGTTTGAATCACAAAAGAAACCAGCCAAAGATCGTCGTATAGCATTAGAAGAAAGTTTAAAATGGCATCAACTGTCGTTTGATATAGACTGTGAAATGCACTGGATTTCGGAGAAAGTTCCGATTGCGTCATCTGAAGAAACCGGCCGTTCTCTTACAGAAGCCACCAATATGCAGAAAAAACACGAACAGTTGGAGGTTAATCCGTTTTTTAGATGGGATTTACAATGTTGATGGAGCTAGCTTGAGGTTCTAGATAATCGCATATGTGGTAGAAGAATTTTAATCTGTAATATAAAATCAGAGTTTTAGCGCTTTTTTATTTAACAGTTTCTTTTTTTACTAATGACTAATTTATTAACTTTCTTCTGTATTTTTTCATATTTCGGTTTCTTTTTTAAATATTTCAATCATTTTCTGATACAAACTATTTTTCCTTTCATATATTAGAGTCGTCTTTTAAATTTTGAAGGACAAGATTCTCAAATTTGCAGACAGAAGTAGCATCACGATTGCCTCATATCAAGCAAACACTAAATCGTGGTAACAATCTTATCATAGAGAAGCATTATGCCCAGGAACAAATACGCAGAAAATATGAACAGGTACTGTTTATTTTCATAGTATATTTTATTTTTATATTTATTCAACGTTTTTAGATAAAGTATCTTTTTCGTTCAGTCATTCAGTTTTTTAATTGCAGCTTTCTGGTGCTTTGGCACATTTGAATAATTTAATGCGGAAGCGGAAAAATTTGCTAGATTGGGCGTTGAAAGAAGAACAATACATGTTTGATGCAGCCGAGGTAACAGATTCTACTCTTTCTTTCTTGTATCTTTTGCATGATGCAGTTCATGAAATCTACAATTTTTTCAATTAATTATCAACTTCAGTAAATCATTTCAAAGTTTTCCACTCATCTTCTTAGTTAGTCGAATTTAGGTCGATTCGTGGATGAATGAGAAGCGGGGAGCGTTAACATCGGAAGATTACGGTCAGGATGAAGATGCAGCGCAAAAGTTATTGGCTAAGCATAAAGCTTTACAAGCTGATATGGTTACATACATGTAGGTTTTGTATATATATATACATTTCTTAATGTATTCACTTTTTCCTGTTAAATCTGCTTTGTCTATTGTGAAGCGGTTTGTCAGTAAAGTGAAATGTAAAAATATCCCCCAACAAGTACAGTTATGGAGGAAGATAAGAGCTTTGATGACTAATATCTTGTTTGATTAATTGTAATTGTATTTCACATTACTTGTTCATCTTTTACTCTTGAAAAAACGCTGATGTGACAACAGTTATCTTAACCTACAATAAGCTGTATCATTTTCATGTGTTTAAACAATATTACATTTAATTTTCATTTGATTTGATTTTCATTTTGATTGCGTTGCAGGCAATGGCTTCAGAAATTAGCAATTCAGTGTAAAGAGCTGGAGAATTCGAATCGATCAAACAATGAACGGTTTGTGACGAGACAAACAGAACTGGAAAAAGAATTCGAAACACTTTCAAATTTGGCAGACGAAAGAAGGCAGCAACTTGAAAACGCCGTTTACTTATACCAGTATTTGCGAGAAAGCCAGGATTTAGAAGCATGGATCAACGAACAGTTATTGGTTGCAATGAGCGAAGATTACGGAATCGATTATGAGCATTTAAAAGTTGGTTGATATTGCGCAAAAAAAATTATTTCAAATATATAGTTCAAATTTAACTATTGTTTGTTATTTTAAAAATTTTAATAATGCGGCGTTGTGATGTACAAAATTATGAATTGGATACAATCTTCAGGATGTAAGAATATTTGCTTTAAATTCTAGAGGAGTATATTTGAAGTTTACGATAAATAAAATATTTGAGCATCAAAAAACTTCCGTAATCATTCTAGTATTAATTTTTGTACTTCCGTAATCATTCTAGTATTAATTTTTGTACTTCCGTAATCATTTTAGTATAATGATATGCATTTCAGGAACTGCAGAGCCGTTTTGAAGATTTTAAGCAAAGTGTCAAAACAGGCAGTGAAAGATTTGTACATTGTGAATCAGCAGCGAATGCATTGCTGAGACGCAATCCACCGTTTGCTCGTGACATTTTAAAGCGACAAGAAAAGCTCAGGTGACCGGCAGCTATTTTCCAGGATATGTTCCCAGTTTTTGGGCGAATAATTTTTGATTTACTTGTCTTTTATCTTACTGAACTTTTAGCGTGATCTATTTATTTTTAAAATAAAATAAAATTTGTTAGCATCAAAATTTCTATGACAGAATTTTATCACCAGTAAATTTGTTAATTGAATATGTTTTTCTTTTTAAAAATAGTAATTCACTGAAATAAATATAAAGAGAACTTTTATAAAATTTGAGAACAGTTAAGGGATTTGAAATACTTGAATTTTATGGCAGTCTTAAAACTTTAGGTCTGTCTGGTCCTTGCTGCTAGATTATATTGAAAGTCGAGATCAGAAATTAGAAGCAGCGGAAGAGTTGCATCGTTTCAATCGTGATGTAGCTGAGAATCAAGAACGAATAGCTGAGAAGCAAGCTTCAATTCCTGCAGAACTTGGTAAAGACATCAAGCAAGTTCATTCCTTATGGTTGAAGCATGAAGCTTTTGAAAATCAGCTTGGTGCTATGGAGCAACAGCTGCGTGATTTATTGGAAGAAAGCGCACGCTTGAAGGCTACTTATCCTGGTGGTAATGCAGAACATATCACGGCACAACAAGCAGCTCTAGCTGAAGCTTGGCAGGATTTGCAAGACGCAACCGTTTCACGTCGTGATATGCTGAAAGCTGCTTATGATTTCCAACGTTTTTACGTAAATGTGAGTGGTTATTAAGAATTTTTGCTAATTAGGATATTGTATTCTCTTTCTCGCCGTAATCCATTGTAACGTGATGAAATCAATCATTTCCAGTTGACAGTTAAATTTTTAAAATTTTTTTTTATTACTTACTATACCATAGCGTAAAAGTACCTGCAAAAACATTACATCGGTATGCTTTATAGTTTTAGCGTAGTGCTTGAAAGTGGAAAAATTGCCGTTATATAAATATCATATAATGATATTTAAATTTATAGGTCCGTGATTTGATAGCATGGACAGAAGTCATTGTAAGGGATATGGAAAGTAAACAACCAGTTCATGATTTACAAAGTGTGGAATGGTTGCAGAAGGAGCATCTTCGCTTGCAGGTAAATTCCAAATGTTTGACGAAATAGCTGAGAAGCTTGAAGCTTTTTTTGAAGAGAAGAGAAAATGGAGCAGTGTATGCATTAAATGATTTTTGACAGTAAAAATTGGGCAGATCAGCATGTTTTTATTAACAATTCTTTTCAAATAATAATTCAACGATTAAATTTGAATGCTATTTTGAGTTTCTGAATTTTTTGTATTTTTCAACGATATGCAGTCACCTAAATATGATTGAAGTACTTGTTTATGCAGTGGTAGAAGTTCTTGGCAGCAAAATTTTTTTTCTATAAATCTAATATTTTACAGCGTTCGAACTCATCGTCGATCTATTTTTTTCCTATGGTTTGTTGAATTCAGTAAAGTTAACATATGCGTAAATTTGTAGTATTATGTTTGTGAATGTTTAAAATGTTTGATTTCTTATTACGATAAAATTTGTCTCTTTCACATTTCCAAATTTTAGGCTGAAATAGAGGCGCGTGAACCGGATTTTGCACGATTAACTAGTCGAGGAGAACAAATGATAGCGAAAGATCATTATGCAAGTGCAGAAATTGCAGCAAAATTGAAGCAGGTAAAAGAAGAAATGATTTAGCAAAAAATGAAAGATCAAATTTAAATAAATCTTTGAAAAACAACAAAATTTGAAATAGATTGAAAAAGATTTTGGTATTTCTCTCATTATTGTCATATATGAACAGTACATGGAACAGTACATGATTCCACAAATATTAATTTTTCTTGTTTAGGTTGATCAAGCTTTACGACGAGTTCGAGATGAATGGGCCATACGGCGCGAATGGTTGTCGCAAGTACGTGAATGGCATGCATTTCAACGAGAGGCAAAACAAACTCTGGGTACAGTCGCAGCTCGACAAGCAACACTTTGCTGTGCCCAGGTATTTTGAATTTAGTTTCAACTGAAATACAACTTTTTTTATTAGTTAATCATACAGCTTTTAATTAATTTCAGTTAATAATCCGTATTTTTTATGAAATATTAACTTAATATTTTAAGAATATAATTATTGATATCATAGTTATATTTTCATTACTGTGATATCAATTTTTGAGGTTGGAGGAACAATGGAAGAAGTTGAAAATCAAATCAAAAAAGTGGAGACATTTCAAAAGGCACTTGCAACTCTTGATGATCGCGTTACTGCTTTGCAAAAAACAGCAAAACAATTGGTTGCTGCCAGACATATTGAATCCTCGAAAATCGACCAATATATGAAACAGGTATACGAAGATTCGAGATTTATTCTAAAGTTTTCAATACTTATCACTTTTAAAAAAAACATTTGCAACATATGGTAGAGAAGAGTACTAGAAGGTCGTTTTACAACTCGAATCGAATTGAGTCAACTCTAGAAAGAATATTTTAACTACGGAAATTTAATTTGAAAGATACAGGCATCTGTTATGCTGTACTAGTTATATCCGTGCGTGTTGCGGCGGAATTTGTTGCGGTTTTCATAATTTCTAGATTAAAAAAACCAAACATGTTGAGGTATTTCATTTTATAAGTTTTACATATATTCGTATTTTGGGATAATTTCTTTCTTTGGCAGGACTGTTATTTATTTTTTATAATTTTTTTTATTGAGGTGGAAGCAGCTCTCACACAGCTTCGTGTACAGTTGAATGTACGGAAAAGTATTCTGGATGATGCATTGAATTTGGCTTGCTTCAATAGTGATATGGTAGAGATAGAAAGCTGGATTGATGATAAACAGAAACGAATAAATGCTGAGAGTGATAAACAAGCGAAATTAACAAGTATTGAAGATAAAATGAAACGCTTGCAAAAGCATCAGGTTTTGTAATTTCGTTTTCTGCAATGATTAAGACCATTTCACTGTATTTCAAATTAGCCATATCGAGCGTGAATTTTAATTATTGGATTGATGGATAAAAAAAATTTTGCAAATTTTCTTGAAGCATAGTTTTTTATGCCAAAATTTTTAGAACCATAACTTAGTCTGAGCAATAGTGACACATTTGCAGGCAATGGAAGCTGAATTATCAACAAATGAGTCCCGAATTCAGGAAATTAGGACACGAGCAAGAACATTAGCATCTAAACCTACCAATGATGGGCATGACATTAACAAGAGGTTCACTTTATTCATTTTACTAGATCAATTTTGACTTAAAAAATATGAAGTTCTCTTTTTCTACTTAATCCTTATCACACTGAATATCGTACAGTCACTTTAAAAATGTGTTTATTTCAGAACTGGTGCCATGCTTAAGAAATGGGACGAACTAGTTGCTATGTCACGTGACCAAAGTAATGCATTGGAAGAAGCTCGAGATTTGCTCGATTTCAAACAGCTTGTTGAAAGAGTTATGCGCTGGATAAAAGTATGCATAAATAAAATTTTTCTCTGCAATCACTTATTCATATGTTTAAATTGTAAGAATTTAATAATTTTATTATGAAAACACAAATTACTAGCATCAAAATATTGAAATGTTGATTTTTAAAATGCGAATATGATTTAATCTTTATCACGATAGGATTTATAATATAATATTGGATATAGTTCTATTAAATTTGCTGTACTCATGCAGTTGTACGGAACAAAAAATGAAGTAAGTAACAGGAAAGATTTTCCAGGAACGAGAACTATTAGTCAGTGCCGGTAAAATGGGTCGTGATATGGAGCACTGCCAAGCGTTATTAGAAAAATTAGATGGCACACAGGCGGATGCAAGTGTCGACCAAACTTCCGTTGAATCTGCGAATTGTTTAGGTCAAAAGCTGATTGCTCAGGGACGTTCTTCGAAAGACGAAGTGCAGCAACAACTTAATGAACTAAATGAAGCGTTAGTTCTATATTTCCTTATTTAAAAATTTGAATTGTTTATGTTAATAGGATGTTATAAAGATGACAATGGACACAAAACTTTTGGTTGCTGAAAATTTTCAAAGTTCATTTTTGTTTTTTCCATAACAAATTTTTGAATATCGATGATACAATCATCCAGTAATACATCAGTTGTTTTTTAATTCAAAATCAACTTTTTCAATTTTTCTTTGGTTTTAGTTGGAGGCAGGTGCAGGTCAAATTAAGTTTGTACCGCTCACAGCTCCGTTCAGCGCTCGAAGTCCACGCATTCAACCGTGATGTTGAGGATACTTGTGAAAGGATTCAAGAGAAGCTTACTGCTGTCACAATTGATGATCTTGGGAAAGATTTGCATTCGGTCGAAGCATTGATACGCAAGCAGGAAGCAGTCGAAAGGGACATGACTGTTATTCATGAGAAGCTTAAGTTACAGCTTGCAATCTGATTTTGCTTTTGAATAATTACAAAATTTATTAAAAATTCGAATGAATTTGAAATTAAAAATGATTCCTGATTTGAATTCAAATTTTCCAGGAAGCATAAATAATGTATTAATGCTGTTGATACTGTTCCATATATATTTGTTAAATTATTTTATGGCAGGAAATACTCTTCATTATTCAATTCACATTCAATTTTTTATTATTCAGTTGCTATTTAGGCAGACACACCAATAAAGAAGTGAAGAGAGGATATAATTGGCTCCAAATATTTTAGGCGCACGATATTGAGGCACAGAAACTTCTCGACAAGAAACCACCACTTTGCAATACAGTTATTGAATCACTACAAAGACTGGAAACATCATGGAAACAATTAGCTGAACGAGCGACAGCCAGGTTATTTCCCTGTATTTTTTTTTTCAAATTTTTTGGTAAATGGTAAATTTTTTATTGAAAGTTTAGAATAGTTGTTTTTATGAGTGTATTACTTTTATTAGCATTTTATAGAGGACAGGCGTTAATGTCATCTGGTGAATTGCACAAATTCCTTGATGCAATGCGGAAAGCTGAAATTTGGGCAGTAGATGCCCTCAGTCGACTGACAACTCAAGAAGCTCCACGTTCTGTAGCAGATGCTGATGCATTTATTGCGAGACATGTTGAGAAGCTCGCGGAAATTGATGGGCGACAGGTTCTTTTGATTAATTATATTTTAAATGGAATAAAAAATCACGCCAATTATACTTTTTACTTTAATCATTTTAATATGAATCATCTATCAAGCGCACTGATTTATTTTCCTAGTGAATGCTGTGAGCATTTTTAAAACTTAAATTCATTGCAGTTTCATTTTTTTTTAGCGTGAAATGTCAGAATTGCGGGAATGGAGTACGAGGTTGATTGCTAAACAGTCGGATCATAAAGGTGAAATACAACGATCCTTAAAACGGCTTCAAAATGTAGAGCATCAACTGCGTCAAGCATGGGAGGCTCGGAATGTTGCCTTAGCTCGAGCTCGGAATCGTCAGTTATTTGCTGATCAGGCTGCTCGTGCTGAACAGTGGCTCGCATCCAAAGAAGCATTTCTAAAACAAGTGAAAATTCCATTTATAGATAAAATTTTCTTTGTTTTCCTGGAAATAAGTGAATGCTATCCAAAATTTACTTCAAAGTTTTAGTCTTATTGTTTAATGTATTGCTTGTCTACTGTGTTTCAATTCATACATGGCTGACGAATTATTTTTGTGGATCAGATTTTTTAAATGTTTTAATTCATGGCTTATTTCAGGCAGATATGGGCGAGAGTGTTGTTGCTGTTGATGTACTACTTAAGAAACATTGTGATTTCGAAAAAACCCTTATTGCTCAGAGTGATAAAATCGATGCTCTAAAGAAAGATGCAGATTCGTTAGCATTGTGTGATGCAGATTACCGTGATGAAATTGAAAAAATGTACGTTAATGTGGTAGCTGTCACAAGAATTTGGAAAAATTATTTTATAAAACTTATTTCGGCTTTTCGATCTGCAACTTAATTCATAATCGAAGTTTTTAAATTAGATTCTAGTATACATTTTTATTGTTTTTACTATTATTGGAAGAGACAAAAAAGTGATTTCTAATTTTCAGCCGCGACACAGTTCTCTCTCGACATGTAGCGCTTATGGATTCATGCAAACGACGTCATGAATTGCTGAATGAATCACGCAAATTACATGAATTCATCGATAGCTGTGGTGAACTGATGACATGGATCAATGCAAACATTCAGCTTGCATATGATGAAAGTTTTTTGGACCAAACAAATTTAAGGTTAACTGATGTTGGAGAAGTAGTAATTTTAAAAGGATAAAATCAGCCTTTCTTAGATTAAATAATATTTGCAAAAACACGATAAAATTGCATTATATAAGTCTTTTGTTAATTCATATTTTAATTATTATTTGCTGAACATATTGTCACTGCTTTGTTCTATTTCATCCTAACTTGCTGGTGATAGCTCAATGTTGTTACAGCTTCATTGAAACTTCTGGAACAAATTTTTTGCCTTGCGAATATTTGGCAATTATTAGCATTCTCATGCTATAATCAAGATTACTAGAAGAAAACAGTAGTTAAAAAATTTGTGATTTTTGCAGAGCTAAATTACAAAAGCATTTGACGTTTGATGCTGAATTGGAAGCCAATGAAGGTCGCGTAAAATCGATGGTTGATGTTGGTAATAAGCTTATTATTAGCAAACATTATGCATCTGATCGAATTGCTTTACAAATCGCTGAAGTAAGACGAGGATGGGACGAGTTAAGAAGGTAATATCCAGTTGCACGATGTATGATTAAGCTTGAAACAGCGTAATTAAGGTGGAAACTGTGCGTAACTTAAAATTTTTTGATGCTTGAATAACTTTTTATCTTTTTAATTAGACATGTAACATATTTAGCCATACTGCATTTAAATCTGTAACAATGTGTACTTTTTTCAGTACTTCAAACGATGATTAATCATAAAAATTGAGCTATTTGTTAATCTTTTTTCTAGTAAATCAGAAATGAAAAAACGTCGGTTGTGGGAAGCGAACGAAGCATATCAGCTGAATCGACGTATTGAAGATTTGGAGAAATGGCTCGAAAGAGTGGAAAACGATTTGTCAAGTGAGGATCACGGGAAAGACTATATTTCTGTGGAAGCACTTATCAAAAAGCAGGACGATTTGGAGGCTGAAATCAAATCCAGAAAAGATGCAGTCAATGAAATTATCTCTAAAGCACATGAGTTTCAAAAGCAGGTTAGTAAAAAAAATTCAATTATTGTGAATGATAAGTAGTTACTATTTGATTGTGCAATTAACTTTCTTTAATATCTTATTTTTATTATTCAGGAGCTTTGGTAGTTATCGTTTTTATTGCGGGATGGTGGTTAGTTCATATTTCATTAAAATATTCTGTACATTTGAAAGCATTGGAAAGGCACTTCTTTTTTTATTTTAATAATAGTAAACTGCGCTTTGGTAGGAGATCTGTAACTTAATAATAGTAGAGTGGAATCTATCCAAATAAAATGGATGTTACGGATGTAGTTGGTATGTTTAATTATATTACAGCAAAAGCTGGCAAAAAAATATCTTGTTTTCTACATTTAGATCCAACATAAAATTTTCTAATGTTCCTTTATTTTTTTTCTTATTTTCTCAAGATTAATTTTGGCAGTTTCAGGGTTACGCAACTGCTAATGAATCGTTGGAGATGGCAACAACTCTTGGAATACGATATAATGAGCTGAAAAAACCTTGCGCGATTCGCCGGGAGAATCTAAACGATGCTTTGGCATTTTATGGATGGATATCTGAAACGGAAGAGCAAACTGAATGGTTAAGTGATCGAAAACGGCAGACGATAAGTACGGATTACGGGGATACGTTGCATGCTGTACAGTTGCTCGTCAAGAAGCATGCACATCTTGAGGCTGATATTAATGGCCGACGGGTTAGATTTTAATGTTATGATTTAAATTAAGACATTTCACATATTTTTAAGATAAGCTAAAGGTTGCAAGAATAAAAAATGTTTCACATTTGACAAATAAATGGAATAAAAGCTATCCAGTGAAACTTTGCAGCTGTTTGTATGCATTTTTTTAATTTATTTTAACAAAAACTCATTCTCTTCAGGAAGCAATAGCAAAGGTTGAGGAGAAAGGTCGCAAAATGATAAAAGACGGACATTTTGCATCGAACGCAATACAGGAAGTCCTAGATGAATTGTCGATGTTGGTTTTATCTGTAAAACAATTCATAAATGAAAGATCACAAAAATTGGGGGATTCTTTACGAAGTCAGCAGGTAATCCGTTAATCATGGAAAATTGAACTTCAGATTTTGCAAGCTTCAGAAAGTTTTTTCCAAGCGCAACTCTGATACAAAATATATTTAATTTAAATAATTTCATGGAATATAATAGAAGCTCTTCAAATTCTCATCATTTCATTTTTTTTCTGTAGTACTATGCTGAAGCTAATGAAGCTGAGCAGTGGATGCGTGAACGCATACCACTAGTGGCAAATAACGATATGGGTAAAGATCAGGCAGCTGCAGAGGGACATTTGAGGCGACTGAAGACATTAGAAAATGATATAAACAAATTCTCTGGTGAAATAGAAAGGCTACGGAAGGAAGCGGAATTAATGCTTACTGGGAAACACTTTGATTCCACAAATGTTAGTTTTATTTCACATTTTTTGAATAATTGTATTTTTTAGTTTACTGTTTATTCTCTTATTAAGGTCTCAATCGGTTTTCTCTTTCACTTTAAAATCTTTATCATTTTTGTGATTAACTTTTTCTAACTTGTTTTTATTTTAACATTCATATTTGTGTGCTTCTAGTTAATGTACAGATCAGTTAATTCGGATTGTTAAGAGCTTGTTATTTTTTCGAGTTAAATACTCACTCAAGCTAAAATGGAATATCATTTCAAATGTACTGTACTCTTTACCACCATAATAGTTGTTTTAAGCTTTCATCAAAGCAAAGCAAGTTAGAAGAACTGTATAAGCAGCTCAATGATGATATTATAAGACGTAAGGTGCAACTGGTGGATTCAGCAAGATATCATGCATTCGTTTGCCAAGTTGATGGTCTTGATCGATGGCTTTCAGAGAAATTAGAAATTACTAAGCAGGAAAATTATGGTAAGTATAAATCGAGTAATAAAACTGAGAACTGAATTTAATCTCAAGTTTTACCCTTAAAGTTGTTGATATGTTGATACTATGTTATATATCTTTTTCTTATGGGACAATTCCAGTTGATAGCTTTTACATTAAAATGATAGTAATTTATTTACAGATGCATTGGATTGTAGATATTTTATTTTTGCGAATGATAGTATTGTGCCAAAAATATTTGGGATAGTATTATCGCTTGTGTATAATTCAAATTCAAAAGCTTTTAAGACAATTTTAGGTCGCGATCTGGCTGAATGTCAAAAATTGGTAACCGAATTCGATCAAGTTGTGCGTGAATTAGCTTCTGCTGGTGAAAGAATTGCTGCAGTGAAAAGAACTCAGGTAATTCTAACAATTGTTTTTTTGACAATATTTGAAAGTTTTCTTAAAATTGCTAATTTTTTTCAATTTTGCTTTATAAGAATGGTAGTATTTCGAATTTCAGGAAGAACTGCTTCGTAGTGGTCATCCATTTGGTGTATCTATTAAAGCAAAGGAAACTGATTTGCAGCATCTTTGGTCTCGAGTTAACGAAGTAGCCAATGAAAGGCAGCAAGCTTTGCAAGGGGCTATTCAGGTTTTTGCTTTAATTTTATCGGGTTTTCTCTACCTGAATAGCTGAATAAGGTTTTTTTCTATATTCCCCTTTCTTCTGTGTAATATTTTATCTGAAATTTTCTGCCTGTTAAATCAATAATATAGCATGGTAACTTTATAAAACTGGAAAAGAATTTCTTTTATAAAGAAATTGAAAAAATTTTTTGAAACATCGTACAACAGATTTTGTTTTGCACTTAGTGGGATAAGAGAAATTACGCAAAGTGTTATATCTTACGTGCAAAAAAAGCAGCTAATCATAGACGATAGTGACTGATTAGGTGGCATTAATTTGACATTATTCAACTACTATTGCTATGTTTTTTATGTAGATATTTTGTTCAATTACTCATTTTGGAGACAAACATAACAATTGAAAACGTTGCATGAATGAAATTGATTAAAATTCTATTACAACTTTCACTATATTTCATATATATTCTGGGAATTTTTATCACGGTGTGTTTGAGAGCAAGCGATCTTTCCATGATATAAAAAATATTTTGTTTCCCCAAATAATATTTTTAAATTTTCCTTCTATTTGTCAATAAAGAGAAAAGATCTTTCTAGCATTATAGGAGCTGAATAGCTGAATATTTATATATACATTTTATATAGTTCATTTTTTTACTTTATAATAATGTATGTAATATTAGTGGTAATCATATCTTAACATAATTCTTTCTATAGTCTGTGAATTTAGAATGGTAACTTATTATTGGTTTTTAAGGTTCACAAATTTGATCAAGATGCTGATGAAACTCTTGGTTGGTTGGAAGAAAAGGAAGCGCACCAAGTAGCACTTGAAGGTGAAGATATTTCGCGAGCTGATCTTCCTGCCTTGAAACAGTTGATGAATAAATATGACGAATTTATGCGTGGCGTTATGGCAGTTGAAAAGCAGGTTTATGATTCATACTTGAGTTTTAAAAAAAATGAAGTTGAATTAAAATTAGCATAGTTTAAGATATATCGTTATCTTCGTTTTTTTTTTTAGGTCAACGATTTAAGTCGTGAAGCAGAACGTTTGATATCATTGTATCCTGACACACAGGAACATCTAGTAGTACGCAAGATGGGAATGGAAGAGCAACTTAAAGATGTAATCAGCACTGCTAATAAATATTATGAGAAGCTACAACAAATGCGAAATCTGCAATCATATTTCCAAGAACATCGTGACTTAATTACGTGGATTAAACGTTTACAACATACTATAACAAGGTAGTTCTTTTGTTTTAACAGTTTATCTTCTCGGTCACTTGCTTTAATCCTGTATTCATAAAGTGTAGGGATGTCAAATGAGAAATTGATTAACTATGATTAAAGTTTTTGAGTGAATTTGTAGTAGGCTTCGTTTTGCAGTGAAACTCTTCCGAACGATGTGGAGGGATGCAAAGCATTAATGCTAAGACATACGGAATATCAAGCTGAAATTAATGGACGACAACCTGCTGTTGATGAATTCATTCGTAAGGGTAATAATATGATTGCTGCACAGCATGTTTTGTCATCCGAGATATTTGGCAAGGTTCGAATTTCTAATGCTTCGAAATTTCCATTAACTATCAAAACATTGATATTTGGACATAATTTCCAGGATTAGAAAGCATATTTTCTAATCATAATCGAATCTCATTAAATCTCTTAAATTTTTTCAACTAATAATAAAAGAGAAATGATCTTTTTGTTTAACTGGATAAGAATGAGAGTTGGTTATAAAAGATATAAGATTTTCTAAGAGATATAAGATGATATAAGATTTTTTACTTTCATCGAAGATGGAAAAGTTTTTTTTTTCAGATTAAACAACTGGAATCAGCCATGGATTTATTGAAAGATATCTGGAAAGAGCGATTGGTGTTATATGAAGAGAATCTGGACTTGCAACAGTGGAAACGAGATGCACATATCACGGACGCATGGTTAACGGAGAAGGAAGGTATGTTGAAAGAGGATTGGAGAAAAGTAGAAGATGTCGATGATGCCGATAATAAAATAAGGTTTGTTCTTTATTCTTTCGCAATTCGAGATTCTTTTTTTGAAAAAACAGTGATATGGTATAATTTATTGTTGAGAAAACTTTTTATTGTTAAATCTTTTAAATCATTTTTTCAAAAAGGAATTTTTTTTCAGGAATTTCGACGATTTTCTGATTACATTAGAAGCTCAAGGTGAAAAGTTTGACTCTTTGAAAAGATTAACTCTCCTCGAGAAGGCTTACTCGAAACAGCGTAAGAAGGAATCTGAAAGGTCTGTTAATCTGCTTTAACTGACCAAATAGGGCAGCAATTTACAGTTAATTTTCAAAGAAGTTAAAAGGAGTCTTTGATTTGGAACACGGTGATTAGAAATAGTTTTTTTGTTGTCTTAATTTTTGACATTGTTCAACTTTAATGCTCAAGGCATTTGCGGACAGGATTTTTTTTTAGAATTCAAGAGGAGAAAGGAAAAAGTGAGTCACGGAAAGAAACTATTAAAACATTTGAAAAACAGAATAAACTGCAAGATCGTCGAAAAGAACGCGAAAGACGTATGACTCAAGAAGTGTCATTGATGAAACCAAGTCCGTCATACACTGAAGAAGTGTATGCATCACATACTTTACCGCATCCTCGACGTGGAACTGAACCTGTTCCATGTATTCGGACATCCTCTTTCGAATCAAAAGTATGTTTTAAGATCGTTTAATTGTCTTTTCGATATCACCTTATTTATCGACTTGCAGTGCGACTGCTGAAATCGCTAAAAAAAGTTACTGATCATAAAACGTTAATGATAGTACCGAATTTGATTTTTGAAGAAAATAACTCAGAGGTTTCCTTCTTGTTTCAGGAAGCACCGACTATTTCTTCGAAACAGACAGCTTTGAGCGATGGTTCATCAGTAGAAGCCGAAAGAATGCTTACGTCTGGATCTGTATTATCAATTGATGAAACTCTGACGACCCAAAGGATAGGTTCAGCTCGAAAAACTCCGAAATTTACTACAAGAAGGTCGAATTCATTGAAAAAAGTGAGAACACGAGAAGACTTTGGACCGATTGATATGCACGGATATCTTGATCGGAAGCAAGATTTGCAAGTATGGAATTTCGAATTTTTCACCATCGTTTTTGCAAAAATTTCCCCTGATATAAGCAGTTTTCTGTTTGTGATCCACTTTCTGCTTGACATTAATATCAATTCGCAATAAATCTAAACTTTTCAATATTCCGTTGGAATATTTCGGTATATATTTGGCATGATAAAGAGTTTTATTTTTCACTTAAAATTCATATTTCATAAACTAGTTCGTTTCCCTGTAAGTTTCTTTAGTTTTGTAATTTTTTTAGAGTGGTGGGAAAAAAGCAACGATACGTACATGGAAAAGATATTATACAATCCTCTGTGGACAGCTTCTGTGCTTCTTCAAAGATGAAGATTCTTTTTTGGAAAATTCGGCATCTTCTGCACCTGTTAATATCCTGAACGCAGAATGTGATGCTTGTCCTGAATATATGAAAAAAAAGAATACCTTTAGGTTAATTTTTTCTTATTCTTTACTTACGTTTTATTTTTACTCTTTTCATTGGCAAGGAAGTTTCAGATTTACAAAACTTAATCACTTCAAGATTTTTTCTTCAAAATGTTTCAGTCTGCCGATAGAGAAAATGAAATGGTCTTATGAGTAAAACATTGAATTTTTTTTTGGAAATAGGTAGCATGTGCTGTCACCATTTTTGAAAAAAGAAATATATGTTTCAGGCTGAAAATACAGGATGGATCAGAGTATCTGTTTGCGTGTAATGACGATGACAAAATGCTGGAGTGGGTATTAAAAATAAGGTTTCATGCAAATTTGGCACCCGCTCAGCAACTTCGAAGCTTTGATAAGGTATATTTCACATATTATTTATTTCAAAAGGAAGAAGGATGATAATAGAAAGAAAGGATAGAAGCAGTTGAGCTCATGAAAAATTTCAATCAGTGTACATTTTAATTTATTGAGGACAGAAAGAAATAAATTAAAGTGGAACCTAAAAGTTTTCTAAAAGTTATGCGGATTATGCAATCGCATTTTGTAATGCGAGAGAAGGCCATTTAGATACGTTTTTGCATATTTTTCATATTTGACAAAATTCGTCACATCACTTCAGGAAAGCAATTTAATTGATTTCAGGGTGAAAGCCCACCTATGTATTCACCGCCGCCACGACCTTTTGAAACTTTACGGCGGCACACTACCGAATTAGTTTCATCGGTGGAAATTAATTCGCTTTCGTCACAATCCTACGAACACAGATCATACGAAAAGCCCGATATCATAACTAATAATCATTGTAAGTTTTATTCATAATTTCTGGTATTCAGAATTAGAATTTTCAGCGTTTGAGGAAAAGAAAACCTGATATTTAGTCATTAGCCCTATTAAGACTTCCTTGTTTTGTCCATATCGAACCAAATGTGAGTCATTTGCTTAATAAAAGTCTATGACAATAATTACTTTTCTAAACTTCAATGGTTTTCATTGGTATTTCTGAGGTGAAAATTTTTGAAAAAAACACTTATGGAAGTTATTAATTCTTATTATTTCATCCTTTATTTTATTTCTTTCACCTGCTGTATGTATATTTTGTTCTCAGTTTTCATATAGTATTCTTTGCTATGTTTTGATAATGTCTTATGTACCAGTGTTACTGCTTTTGGTATGGTTTTAGTCCATAATTGACATAAGGTAAAGTGGTTATTGTTTTACTCTTTTGTTCCAATACATTGTGAATACTATCTCTGACTCGAAACTGATCATGATATATTCTGATCAATTTTCATTTTTGCTTAATATCTTGTCACACTTTGTCTCTTGTTTTACAAGCTGTTCGTACTTAACAGAAATCTAATCTTGATAATAATTTCCTGCCTGATTAGTGAAGTTATGATATTAATTTGTTTCTTATGTTATTTCTCTCTGAGCAAAAGGGAAAGTGCAAATATGGAAGAGTATAAGTGAGCCGAAGAATGATGTTGAAAACATTAAATGTGACAGTTCCAGTAGTTTGTTGTGATCTTATTTCGGTTATTAGTTTTACAATTTTTTTGTAGTAATCCTTAAAAATGACAACTTTGATCATTTTAATACCTAGTAATGTTAGTTTATTTTGTTAAATCATGCTTAACTTCATTTTTTTTTCTGATCTAAGTAGAAAAGCGTTGATTGCAAGTTGTTAATTTTTAGACAACGAAGGAGAAGTAATGCTGGAGCTTCAAAATCAGCCATATAAATCGACAACAACAACAGTAACATCGGTACAACGTGAAAACGGGTTCGGAAACCTTGTTAGTGTTAATTTTCTAAATTTTGAGATGCTATAATGAAGAATTAAGTGTTAGAAAAGTCACATCTTAGTGCTCAGAATTGTCATCAAAAAAATTCACCTTGCAACTATTGAATCTTTGACATATCGATAACAGCAAAAGTAACAGTTCAATATCGTTGTTAGACATTCACTTCTTATTCTTAAAAATAAAAAGCAGATTTGTCTTCGAAGACATCCTAGTGAGATGTTTTTTTTTTTTTTTTNTTTCAACGACTAAAATTATGCTGGAAATATGAAAGTAATTTCAATCACTTCGATCTGTTGGATTAAAATTATCTTTATTTGAAAAAATTTTTGCGGATACACAAACTACTTACTCCAACTTCATAATTCGTTTTTAGCTTGCTTCCAAATCTTGGAAATATCTTAATTAAAAATTTTCAATTGAAGTTATGATTTGATTGAAGTTCTTTTTTCTCAGGATGGCCCTGAATTACAATATCTATATCGTGATAACGAAATGAACGGTAGACGGGTGTTGGAATTGGATTCGGATTCCATAGCGTCATCGACATCACGTCGAAACACTGGAAATACGAAAGGTGCTGACAATGATTTTGTCGCCTGGGTGGAAAAACATTCCGACTTGTCATCATCAGCAACTGTTGCATCATCTGCGACCACTGGATTGTCCGACGATACTGATTCTGTTAAAAGTGTGTTTTCTTATAACTTTATTAAGTAAACAATAGTTCGAAATAATATTATATTAAAATTGAAGTCTTTAAAACTTTATTCAGTTATTGTGAAAATTGATTTTATCTTAGCATTAAAGTTGCAATTTTAAAAATGGTTTTTTAAAATTTTGTTCTGTCAATTTTTAGTAGTAACTTATTTATTTTCAGAGCGTAAAGCATTTTCGTTCTTCAAGCGTAGTTCACGACATAGGGAAAATAGCAACAAGTGAAAAAATTGATGGAAATGATTGCAGTGTTAAACCGATATTTGTCTTGTGTTGATATTATTGCCTTTAAAAGAATATTATCAGGATTGCTCTGATTATAAATGCTTATTAATATAATTTAGAATTATTATGGCTATCGTTGTCTTAAGATCATATAATAGTTTTACATTGTTTAAAATTTCCAGTTCATGTTTAAGTTAATGATAGTTTAGTTTGTCTCGACTTCAGGCTTCTAAGATAATTTATCTCTCATTGCTGCAGTTTGTGGATCCAATGTCTCTTTCTCAGATCAGATCATGGTGAAATTTCCCAGATGGAATTTTACTTCTTGTTTTCACTTTTTTTATTTCACCACTCCCACTTATATATCATTCCTTGTTTATACTATTAATGATATTTATTTCTTCTTTCTTGATATTCAATCGCCTTATTTGTTGGTTAATATCTGTAGCAAATTAAATATGATTAATTCTTAACTATTCTGCTACCAATTATTGGCGTATTGGAGTTCTTTCCGCAATGAATGCAATTGGACTTGTTTTGAAGTGAATAGAAGCTTTCAAGAAAGACGCTAAATATTCTAATTTTTGAATATGGTGAAGAACGCAAACACTCTAAATAGGGCAAATTCTTGTTAATGATAAGTAATTGATTGTTTCTGTAATATCATAGGATCATTTTTGTACCATTTTAATGATCCGTTGTTATTTTTTCAAAATTCGAATTTTGTTTTGTATTCACCTCAGCGAAGCGTAAAAAAATTATTGTTTATTTTTTACTAATGTCAATGAATGATTAAAATTGGCTTGAAGATTGTAACCCTTCATAAATACAATAAAGGGTTGCAAAACATATTCTCTCAAACTTTTTGCATCAATGAGAATTTGTATTATTGGATTATTTTAGAATTGGACATTAAAGGTAATCTACACAGAACTTAATTTGATCCAGTCAAAGGTTATCAGTGATTATTATTTTATGCTTTAAGCTGATGGAATATGTAGAAGTCATTTTAAAAAAGAAGAAATAAAGCAAAAAGTTTAAGAGTTTGAAAGAAAAATTAGAAAAAGTTTCAGATAATGATGCAGTGGTTCATGAAAGAATATTTTTACCTCCCTTACTTTTTACGTCATAAGTTGTACCGAAAGTAAGGCAGATTAAAAAAGGACGTAAAAAAAGGTGGAAGATGTCACGTGCTTAATTTCTAATTTTGTCATGTATGAAGACTGCAAAGATAATAATAGCATTGAATTATAGGTATATGAGTGGAATTTAGAACAAATATGAAATCGTGATAACACAATGGCAAGATGGTCAATCTTAGGAAAGGCCTAAATTACATATTGGGTTGATGGAAAGCGCGGATGACTCAAGAGTTTTTGTGACAAATTTCATGTATTGTTGCCATGAAGTGAGAATTCATTCTTCAGTTATTTAAATTGGTTCTAATGCTACCGATTATAAAATGTTATAGCTGAAGTGATATGACTGGAAGTAAAATTAAAAATTTCAGGAAGTTGCGATTATGTATGAATCAGTTTTAATCTTCGTAAATTTGACGTGACGTTCAAATCATTAACTCACTTAATCAGGCATATAAACAGTTATTTGATTGAGTTTGATCAAACATTGCAACATCTGTAGTTGCAACAAGAAAAATGAAGCCAATGAAGCTAATGAAGCTAAACTTGACATTTTAGCGATCTACTCTCACTTCAAATTTCCTACAGGTTAAATTAATACTTAAACGTTCGAACAAATTTTACAATCACCTATGAGGAGAAAAAAAACTTTAGCGTCGCTAGAATCAGTTTATTAGTCCTAAGCTTTTTCGAATAGCTTCAAGTAAGCATAGGAAAGAATTGAAAGAATTCAAACTGAGCATATAGATGATTCATTTTGTTGATTAATACAGGAATTACAACAATCATAATATTTATTCTCAACCATTGTTTGCTGACAGTAGCAGTAGCGGTGAATGTGATTATCCATTCATATTTCTGGAAAAAAAGTTATTTTCAATTTTATCCAATGAAAAATAATTCAAAATATTTTTTCTTTTTTTTTTCTCACACACAGAAGTCGAATAATTGAAAACTAAATTAGGTTAATGTCTCATTTTTTTAAATAGGCTTTTGGCATCTGCTCGTTCTCAATGATATAAAAATATCGAAATGAAAGCTCAATCGCCAATTTTTAGCAAGAATTTGTGAAATGTATAAAATAAAATATCAAAAATGTAATTAGATTTTTTATCCCGAATTAGTCATCAAATATTTACGATGCTGTTAGCTAATTAATCGCTTGAGCGAAATATTGATTTAACGGACATTTTATTAGATAACCAATAGCAACAAAATTCAATTTTGAATTAATCAAGATAAAAATTTTTAGAGGAAATGTTCAGCTTTAAAGAAAAAATTTATGTAAAACTTTGTTAATATGCCAAAAGAATGCTAACTATTTGATTTCATTCATTTCAATTACTATTAATTGGAATTCTCTCAGTGCTATTTGCCTTTAGACTCCATTTGCACAATGTCCCGCGGCCGAGCCGCTTTTCCACTTCTCTAAAGAATATCGCTTGGCGTTTAGCTATTGAAGAGTTACGTGGACGTGTTGACGTGATTTCTAATCTCAACTGTTAATAATGGCCGATCCGCTGAAATTGCTACATGAATATGCTGTTGGCCGACGTACTATGCGAGAAATCAAAAATGTTTCTTTCTCTTGAGTTTCATTAGTCGTCGACATGTTATTTGAGAGTTATTTGTTTAACGTAAAAATAAGAGATAAGATGCACACCAAGAAATGTATAAAATAATAGCGATAATTTCATATGAATTATTTAATTTTTTTATGCGTTTAGAAAGTACAAGTTTATACTTTTATACAAGTTTATATTTTTATATATTACATTAGTATAAGCTTATACAGGTTTATATATTACATTAGTACAAGTTTATACAAAGATGTAATATTACATTGGCTATTTCAGGGCAATCAGCGTTATTATGTATTTGGTGATGCAGCATATCGACGTGACGTAAAGACAAATCTAATGGTATATGGCAGACAGAATGAATATTATACGTTGGAATCTTTATTGCTACTATGGGAAAATCGAGAGATGCAGCATACTGCTTATGTCAAGGATGCTTCTGGTAAAGGAATACAGTGTGTTACCAGGCCTGATAGGTACGTTTCATGGTTAGATTTCGAATCAAATAATTAGATGTAGTGTATCTTTTCTCATTCTTTAGTTTCATGCTAGAAATAGAAAGATTAAAAAATTTTCACTGAAACTGGATATTGTATTTATGATTAAATTTATTTAGCCCTGCATAAGTTTTCCGAGTTTTTTCCGAAGTTATTTTCCTGTTACTTATATATCTCTTTGGTTTTCTTAAGACCAACCGAAGTTGGGGTCGTCTTCGGAATTTTTGAATTTTACTTGCAATCTTTTGAATTCTATTTATTTTTTTATTTCTAAACAGTTTTCATAATAAATTTTTAGAATTTCATTCAATTTTCACTTTGAGAAATATATAAACTTCAAATTGAATTTTTTAGTTACTTTACTGAAGAGCTACTTTTTGCTAGAGTAATTGATAGATTTATTTTCCTACAAGTTTTAGCTTTTTAAATTCAGACGTGAACTTCTGGCATATCTCAAAGGCGAACGTGAACAACCACCACAAACAGTGGACTTACTGGCACCTATCCCAGCACCGATTCCTGTCTCTCGACTTATTGATCAGAATGAACCGGAAGTGAAAAAAGCTCGTTATGACGGTGAAGAAAATCGGTTAGTGTTGTGTAGAACTGAATTCTAAAGATTTACAAATCTACTATGTGTAGTTTATGTAATGCATCATCGAAGTTATAATGAAGTAGATATTCCTTGTGGCTTTCATATGTATCACAAATACCATTTCTAGGCAACGAATACAAAATCTGCTGAAGGGCACTGTAACGGAAAGTAACAAAAGTGCTGATGTGGAAGGGGTAAGAGATCTGAGTGACAAACTCACAGCTGACAAAATTGCTGCTTTGAAAAACAAACGGAAAAAAAATATGGCAAGAAATACAATCAAATCTGTAGATGACAGGTGAATTTGGTCGATTCTTTTGTGGATTTTACAATTTAAATTTACTAATTCTGAATTTTAAAAATAGAAATATAATCGCTACCCCGCTCTTTTTTTAATTTGATACCTCGAGCATAATCATTTGTTTTGCTTGTTGGATGAAACTTCGAAATTGTCATCTGCAAGTTGATCCTTTTGTAGCTCAGAAATGCTTTAGATTTGGTGCTCCGATGGATTTAGATGTGCCAGATGTAAGTGAAGATGCTCTAGACCGTGAACTGAAAGGTAAAGAACGTGTATGGAGAAATCGAACAAGTGTTATGGAAGCAGCATCTAAAGAGTTCACTTCAATCCTGTCTATTTTACATAGTTTTAAAGTATGTGGATCTAATCGTTATTGTTTTGTTTTAGTTATTAATGCTATATGATTTTTTGGTTAATATTAAATCTTAGTGAAATAAATTATGCGTGCTTATTTTCATGTAATTTCAGTTGAGGGAAGAAGCTGCACAACGTCAAAAATCAGCAGCACCTCCGCCAAGAACGGCATCTAACGATCGTACCAGGACTCAACCTGCTGGCTACTCACGTTATGATCAGGAAAAATTTAACAAAGATCAAACTGCTGGTTTCAAGATCGAAACCGGGCTTACTTTCCAAGGTTTTATATTGTAGCTTTCAGAAGTAATATTTTGTTGAATTTTGTTTAACAAATAAAATAAGAAACTACAACAAAACTTAGTTCGGAAGAAAACAAGTATAAAATACATTAAATTGGAATCTACCAGGAACATCGATAATGTCCGCTTCGGGAGCGAAACCAATGGTGGTGGAATCGTCAGCGCCAGCAAAAGCCTTGACACCTAATGCAGATAATGCTAATCAGCGACATCAAAAGCGGCAATCGAGGACACCAATTATAATTATTCCAGCAGCTGGTACTTCCCTGATTACCATGTTTAATGTTCGCGATATATTACAGGTTTGATTTTGCATTTGAAAGCGAAACGCTGCAAGCTGTTAGTATAATTACAATGCTATCATTGTTTGCAACTTCGTCTTATAACTTCTTCTTTGAAATCATTGAACAGCATGAAATTAAAATTTTCTTTTTTAAATATAGGATATGCGTTTCATTACCACTGAGGAGCGAAAGACGACCTGCAGAAGAGAAAATGAGGTCTTGATACAAAGGCTGAAGCATGACGGCGTTACAGTTCCATATAGAGTTGTTGAAAATCCTTTAAAGTTTGGTGACGATGAGTGGAGCCGTGTTGTTGCTGTTTTTGTTCAGGTACTTTTCTTGGTGGTTGCGGCACTTGACTTTGTTAATAGAATTCATTATAGGATATTTGCCTACTCCTTTAAATTTTCTTTTTATTTTGATTTATTCATCCACTTTTTTGGTCATTAAGAGCTGGTGTGATCATATGGATGAATGAAAAAGAGATACGGATATACTTTATTAGACATGTAAATAGAATTCATCATATCGAAAAAATGAATAATTACTCTCTCATTTATTGCCGGAAGGTATAAAGAATCATTTCAGGGCCCGGCATGGCAATTTAAAGGCTGGAGATGGGGTGGTAATCCTACAGATATATTTGCAAATGTAGCAGCTTTTCATTTAATGTACGATGATCAGAAAATGGATAATAACGTGGCTAAGTGGAGTGTCAGTGTTCTAAAGCTATCACGAACAAAGCGACATTTGGATCGTGCTATATTAGCTCGTTTCTGGGAAGCACTTGATCGATATATTATCAAAAATAAACCCCATCTTAGGTATTAAGAATATTTGTTATCGTCAATTGTTACTGTGATATTGTTATTCACAAGTGATTTATTTTGACCTGAAGCAAGAATTTTCGAAATCTAGTATGTTTCTCGAAATTTCGTTTTAAATAAGTATTAAAATGAATTATTCCAAATACAAAAAACAATGAATTATTCCAAATACAGATATTCTCATTGATAATTATGAAGATTTTTATTAAGTTAGATTTTAAATATTTGGTTGATTGGGCGTAATATTTCTTTTTTCTTCTAAAATCTATTCCAATCTTTGTTTGGAAAATTGCTCTTTCTGTTGAGGAAGAGATGTCATTGATGTTTAAAGAACTTCAAGTATATTGAATGCTGTAAATATTTACGTCTTTGTAGCTTATTTTTGAAAATGATTATCGCATACTTCGAAAGCTAATAGTAAAGCGGCAGTCAGATTTTTGAAAAAATTTACGTGTATTTCATAGTTATGTTTAAAATGTTCATATAAAAATGAGCTTTCAATAGATTTCAGTGTATTTTAAGCCAAATCAATTACAATGAACTCTTTGGAGCTACTATTTTAATATAGGTTCCAAAATTGTTCTTAGATATATTTCTATGCAAGGGTAGATTTGCAGAGCTAACAGGGTGGTAATATGCTGATGTTATTGTGGAATTTTCTGTATTTCTGCGAATAAAAGTGTTTATATTTTTGTTTTGTCTTTTTTTCTCGATCATGTAGTGTACTTAGGATTTGATAAACGGAATTAATTGATTACAATGACTACATTTTTTCATGCATAACTGTCTTAGAGCAGCTAAGAAAGTTCTGTGTGTATATGTAAGTTTTAATATCTAGAAAAGTCATCTAAAGAGTAGAAAAATAATGTGTTATTCTCAAACTCTTTAGGTCAGAAAGTCTCATTCTGGAAAAAGTATGTCTAAAGTTTTCAAACCGAGAAAGAAAGCGTATAGCATATAGGAAATGCAGCTGAAACAAATATTTTTGAAAGGGAGAAAAAATTTGATGTCCAAGTTCCATATTTGAGGATAGACGAATCAGAGAAAGAACAAGCAAAGTAAGGACCTCAGTTGGTGTTACTTCGAACGGGCTTGTAATTTTGCTAGAATCAGGCATATTGAAAATGATAAAATATCCCTCACTGTTTTGCGGAAATAAGAATACTTATTGAGGAAAGTGATGTAAGAGAATGATTTTCAATCATGAAATAACTTTGAAACATCTTAATAAAGACATAAAAAAACAATAACCATTACTTATTGTCGTTGTTGTCATTCAGTAATCAAATAGTGATTACTTTTTTTATTCAAAAATTCTTCCAAATCTTACATATTGTAAATTTTTTGGAAGATGGCTACCGATCCAAAAACGGAAGAATTGTTTTCTCTACTGGAAAATGGTCAACTTCAAAGTGCTAACCTTGTAAAACAAGACTGCATCACTTTGAGAAATGCGGTATATTTTTTCTATCTTTTGGAAAACAGTCGTTTTTGTGCACTCGAAATGACAGTGAGGATGTTGATAGATGGAAAAATGAAAATTCTTTTTTAACAGGAGAATATTTAATATTTTAGATCGGAAATATATAAATTTGTAATGAAGTAAAATAAATTATTTCATTTATTGCAGGACAGTGAAAATGTTCTCATAGTTGCAGCCAGAACGGGACAAGTAGATATTGTACGAGATTTCATCAATGATTTTGATTTGGAGGATACAGATGCTGTATGTCTTTTAGAAATATTATATTAATTTGCGAAGAAAATTAGGAAATATTTTTTACCATTAGAATAAAAAATCATTAAAATGACTCGTACATTATAGTATCGAAATTTTCGAACAAAGATTGGTCAAAAATAAATTTAAACAGAGTTTCTGGATCAATAAGACAAACTTAGAGTGAGTCAGCTAACAGTAAAATCTTTATTTGTTTATCTTTGTAAATATTTCTGCAGGAATTTGCATGTTTGTTCTATTTCTTTTCGAAGTATGTAAAACGAATTTAATTTTTCAGGATGGTTGGACTGCTCTTCTTGATGCGGCTTATATGGGACATGAGGAAGTTGTGAAAATTTTATTGGAAGCTGGCGCAGCTGTCAACTATTCTGATATGGTAGGAGTCGGTCAAAATTTTGCAAAAATTCGGATTTTTTATGAACTCCGAGGAAAATTGATAAATAAGTTATATGGATTGAACTGAAAGTAATATTTAAGCAAAAACAATGAATTTCGCATATTTTAGCTGGGCTGGAGTCCGTTGATGTGGGCAGTGTACAAGAATCATTATGCATGTGCACAGCTTCTGATCCAATTCAAAGCTTACGTTAATCTTATTGATGAAGAAGATAGCTTAACACCACTTATTGTTGCCGCTGGACGTGGCTACGTAACTCTTGTAGAATTACTTATTAGTGCTGGTGCAGAAGTGAGTTTTATATTCAAAAATTGGTAAATTCGCAAATGTCAAATTTCCTGTTGTTCTAATTAGTGGAAAACTTTTTATGGACTGATAGATTTTTCAGGTAAACGCATGTGATAAATTCGGAAGTACAGCTTTAATTTGGGCTGCAAGGAAAGGTTGCAAACCTATAGTTGAATTACTGCTGAATTCTGGAGCTGAATTAGATGCTGTTGGGATGGTATTTAATTTCAATTTTAAAATTTAATAAAATTTAGACAAAATAGTTTTAGTTCACATTTTCAAGAGATTTGTATGCTTTTATTTACAGTATGGATCGACTGCTTTAATGATGGCTGCGCGGGGTAATTTCATCGGTGTTGTTAAATTGATACTGTTAAAGGAGCCGAACATCAACATTGTCGACCAGGTCTATGTTCTACTTCTTTCAAAGAAAAAAAAACTGTATACTAATCGTTGATACGGTTTTTTTTCGAAAACGAACAGGAGTCTACTAAACATTCTTTTTCATATCATCCTGAATTTGATCCGATTAATTTCCTTTTTTTGCAGAATGGTCTTTCAGCACTTGCTATCGCGGCACGTGAAGGCTATGTGGAAATTGCATCGATGTTTATTCAGCATGGGGCGTACGTAAATGCAGTGGACAGGGTACAGTTGAATTTTTTGACGTTTACTTCCGCAACTTTCGTTATTTCCTGTTTTAAGTTTTTTCCTGAAAATACTTTTTTGCAGTTTGGAAATTCAATTTTGGCAGCTGCTGTACGATCAGGGAATGTGGAAATTGTGAAAATGCTTCTTGAAAAGCATGCCGATGTCAATGCAAGAGATTCCGTATGTAAATATTTTTATCTAATTACTCGTTTCGCCAAGGATACCCATATTATTTTTATAATTAAAATGTTCTTGGCATTATTGTTTTTATAGATTTAAGTACTTGAGAACTACCGATCTCAAGGAGAAGTCTTAGACTTATTCATAGCTCAAACATATTTGAATTATGCCATAATTTTTGGACTCTCAAAATATCCAGTCAATGAATCGTACTGTATATTGCTTTTGATAAGTAATTTTCAGGAGAATAGAACACCTCTTCATTTGGCTATCGATAAGTCATTTATGGATATTGCAGTTGCTTTATTGGAAAAGAAACCAAACTTAGAAATACGAAATAAGGTTTTTTTTAGAATATTCGTAATTTAATAACTGTAAAAATAGTGCAATTTGTTACATTTGAATGGCAATTTTTTTTAGCAGGCTGATTCTGTTAATTTAAAAAGTGTCCTTATTTGTATGAAAGGTTGTTTAATTTAACTATCGGATATTTCATGGGAAACATTAGAGATACTAATCATTGGTCAAATATAAGGGTGCTACAATATTACTCTTACGGTTTAACTGGGATATCATAGTTTCTATGGACATACACATCTCTACGTTTTTTTACCGAAACTGTTTGCCGTCGTATGTCTTCATGCTGCATTATTAATAAAGGCTACTTATTTTTGTTTTAATATAATGGTGTATTAACAAATCTTTATAAAATCCATTTTTCCTGTTTTTCAACAGTTTCGATTGTAAATTCCGCTAATTATTCGCCATTTATTAATCTTTTTTACAGGATGGTGATACGCCACTACTGCGAGCTGTAAAAAATCGACATGTTGGTTTCTGTCAATTACTGGTAAATTCGGGTGCAAAAGTTTCAGCAACAGATAACGCCGGTGATAATGTATTACATGTGGCATTACGAGCAAGATCGCGGAAAATAACGCAATCCCTTCTTTTGAATCCGTCGGATTCACGTTTGCTGTACAGACCGAACAAACTTGGTCAGACACCGTATTCAGTTGATCAGGAAAATCCACAACCAATTATCCCCTTAATTTACGGACCATTGGATGCCGAGATACAGGTGGATGCTATGCTTGGTTACGATATTTATAGCAACGTATTGGCTGATATTGTTTGTGAACCGAATTTAACATTACCGCTAACTATCGGTGAGCTGTCAAGTTTTTTTAAATGAGTAAATGCTTAGTGACCAAGTCCATGATTAATTTCCATGAATTTTTCAAAAATTTCGAACGCTTATGTAATTAAATAGCTTTCATTTTTTCATTTTTTAATAGCACTGCACGTGTAGATAACTGTTATCTCGTTTAACAGAATTTAATTAAATTTATGAGATACCCTGCAGGACTATCCCCAGTTCTTGTTTTTCCTTCTCTGGCTTTTGCCTCTACAATTCAAATTTTAGATTATTTAGATTTGGATTTTGTATGGAAAGTATTTTTCAGGGTTGTACGCAAAGTGGGGTTCAGGAAAGTCAGTGCTTCTTGACAAAATGAAAGATTCAATGCGATCATTTTCAAGATCTTGGCTGGACGCGGTACAGCTTTCATGGTCGTGGTCATTGATCTTTTCAGTAGCACTTCTTATTGCGATATTTACACTTGTCTGCATCGCTGCTGTCGCTTTTCTTCAAAATTTTTATTACATTATTGCTGTTGGTGCCTCTGGCTTGACTCTCTTCATTCTATGGGTACTTTCATACGGTCAGCTCTGTCCTTTTTTGAAATTATGTTTTCAAAAATTTCAAATGAATTTAGGTAGATGGGATATCTTTCCAAATTTCAGACTTCACCCAGAGTTTGCTAACATTTGCATAGATTACTCATATCAAAATATTACAGCTCTTGCAATTAATTTTTGTAATAGTTCTTGTTTTCTCAAATTACTGTATTTGATCATATAATATTATCATGCGTATTTTAGCAAATTGAAGTGCTCCGCAGGTCTTCCTTCCAAGTTCGTTCTTAATAACAACAGTTGTGAAATAATTGAACTATTGCATAAATAGTTAAGACTCACTGGACAAAATATGCTCGATCTTTTTTGTATTCAAATATATTTTTTCTTCTTTTTTTTTCAGGCTTTATTTATTATGGGAACAGTGTTAAAGGATGGAATAAATCCGTGAATGTTGCGCGTTCGATTGCTAAATTTTTGGCACATATGCGTTTACTGTCAAATGTTGCGCTACAACATAGCGCATCAGTCCGAGACAAGGATGTCCTTTCTTGCCCTGTGAGGTAAATATCAATTTAATCTATATCATAAATTGTCATTTCTCTTTTTAATAGAAGGATAATCTACACTTACAACAGAGAATTGAGATTAAACGTTCAGGAAAGTAAATAAATAAGAACAAATAAAGGTGTTTAATTACTTAACTTCCAATTCAATGAGTTTTAAAACAGTTCATATGCCGAAAAGCAATTGTTTGATTTGTCATTATGTAACATTTACAGTTTTGGAAAATGTGGATTTGTCTCTATTTTGTGGCTATCTGTTAATATCCTTGCTTATTCTAATAACAGATTGGAATACTTTCCTGAACGTTTAATCTAGCTTTTACAGTAATACAATGCATCTGTGATTATGCAACTAACTTTTTCTGCAATAATTTAATTAATATCAACGAATAAAACTGTTTTTAAATGATTCTTTCATCTTTAGTAAAAACATTATTATTCGACAAATTTATGTTCATTTTCAGTTTCTTATTTGCTGATTATCATCGTTTATCATCAATTGGTGGTGAGCAGGCGCTAGCGAAAATCGTTATTACATTATTTGAAGCTGCTGAAAATCATTTTGGTTCACTTCCAGTTCGCTTGTTTTGTGCTTTGAGAGTTTTATTTGGTAAGTTCCGTTCTATCCACTTTCAGCTCATTGTTTTTATAGATTTCATATACAATATTCGTATTTTAAAAGTTCTAGACAAGTTAAGGAAATTCAAAAATTTAATGTGCTCTGTCAGTACCTTTTTCATAGAACTTTTACTTTTTGAAAATAGAAGCTAATTGTTCTCGAAGTCACGAGATGATGCAGCATCTTGGGTTATTAATTGCTAGCACTATTAGGATTTTTAAGATATTCTAGGAGCTTATATCTTCTATGTTTGATTGTACGTTGCTGTAGACGTGAAACGGTTACTTTTGGTATTTATTTAATAGTTTAACGTTCTTTCGTGTATGAAGGACGTAATTTTTATTTTAGCACATGGTAACAAATCAAAAACACGACGAGCATGTGGTGTACCGGTTACTGTGATGGTGTTATTGTTTTTGTTCTCAATTATTACAGCTTTAATTTTGCTTATATTATGGCTTTACAGTGGGATGGATCTTCAGTCTAGGTTCAGCATCACAATAAATTATTTTATAGTTTACAGTGCGACAGTTTTTTAATAATTTCATTTTATTTTTATTATTCACAAATTTAATGTGCTTTGTCAGTACCTTTTGTTTAATGTTATTTACCGAAAATGAAATTCATAAAAGTTTAGTGCTCTGTTTTCTTCGAATAGGTAATTTCTTTATTCATGGTTTTGAGAAGTTTGAAGTATCACTAACCCATTATATTTTGATCTAGTTCTCATTTGCATAAATTAAATCTTCTCTGGCATTAATGGCTGTTTAGCGAGAAGGTAAACATAACTATATTTAAGCATAATTTGCAGCTATTTATTTGGCAGCGTATCTTTTTTCATTATTGTGGTGGTGCTTACTTTATATCCACTTTACTTTCTTTTTGTTTATGGATTTGTCAATATGCCTAAGAAACGCATAAATATTGCGGCACAGAAAATCAACAAACTGCATTTTGAAGGATTTATGCAAAAATTACAACATGAAGTAAGCTTTCTTATTTTTCTTCTATCTTTGGATCTTTCTCACTCATGTTTACCGTTTTTGTTTTCATTTATCTTTAGTTTATGCTGTCAATTTTTAATTTTACTATATTTTTTATTTTGAGATATATTTTCAATGAAATAAACAATTATGATTTAGTTGTGATGTATTTTTCAAAAAATACAACTTTTGAAAGTTTTTATTAGGTCAATCTTTTGGCCAACATGATTCGCTCACTTGATTTTTTCACAAACAGCCAAACTCGATTAATTGTTGTGGTTGATGGTCTTGATAATTGTGAACAGGTAACTTTTGCAATTGATATGATATCAGTAGATGTTGTAATGAAAATATTTAAAACTAATTCCCATATTCAGTCTCACATTATCAGTTTCAATTTTTTAATATCATATTCCCAACAAACCACTAACATTGTCAATTATTGTTCTTAGAGTATGGTGGTTGTGGTAAGCCTCATTTTTATTATAGCGCTTTTGTTGTAAGTATACTGCATTTGAAGTTTTTTTCTTTTACTTTAATTTTTGCCCTATTAATATAAGACATTAAATAAAGCGTTTCAAAAAAGATAAAGTCAAATTAAATCATTGTTTCAGGAACGTATGGTACAAACCTTAGATGCGCTGGAGCTATTATTTTGCACTCGTGCTGATCGGCCATTTGTAGTAACTATTGCCGTTGACCCACATATTATTATTTCGGCTGTAAATCATAGCATGCATTCTGCATTAGCAGGAACTGAGCTTACTGGACATGATTACCTAAAGGTTGTTGATATTCTATGAAGTTTGAAATAATTCGAAATATTTTGAAACAGTTTCAAAAATCAGTGCATGATTTCGGAAAGAGTAAACTTGTAAAGGGGGACTTGAATTTGTGACTTAGTTGGTTTTATGTAGTATTTCTGCAATGAAATACAATTATGTGCAAAATTTTAAGTCGGATACATGTAATAATATTAGAATCATAAGATAGGAATAAAGATGGGAATAAATTAAGATCTTTGATAGTAAATAAAGATCTTGAAGAGAAATGAGAGGATATTTGTTTGATAGAATTGATAAAATGTCATGGAATTCGAACAGTTCCAATCGAAACCCCTTCATTGCTTTTAGAACATCATTAATATGCCATTCTATCTGCACAATTCGGCCATTCGACAACTCCAGACAAATTTGCGCAACAAACGAGAAAGCTTGGCTGATTGGAAAGAAAGGTTCAAGCGACAAGATACATTCCATGGTTAATATTTCTGCAGGCCAAAAAAATATACTTCACCAAACATATAAAGTTTATATTCTAAATTATGATGGGTGCACAGTGTCAATCAAATACAAAAAATATATTTAAAAAGTTAATGTAACAAACTTTTTTTGATGTAAGTGGTGGTGAAATTTGGTGAATTTAAATTTCAAAGTCACTGGATAAAAATTTTCAGGATCTTACGTATCTTTACGTGAAGGTTTTGAAGGGAAATTATCAAGGAAGGTAACGGTTGTAGGGACTCGTGGATTAAGCCGTTCGCTAATAGCAGATGATTATTTCTCAAATATGAATCCAAGATCAATGAAACGCATTGTCAATGCGCTTACATTAACAGGGCGGTTAGTAAAAATTAATTCCAAATTTGAAAGATGAGATTTAATTCAGTGTTGTTTTTTTCAAATTATGTTTTTATTTCTATTTGATTTATGAAAATCGAATATTACCGTTCTGTGCTCTAATTCGCTTTTTTTCAGATTGATGCGTGCATTTGAAATTGAATTTTCATGGGTCTCACTTGGCTATTGGGTTAGCCTAATTGAGCAATGGCCGTCCAGAATGTGTTGGCTTATTGATCATGCTTTGGATATTCCACAAGATTCATATCCGCTTGCAGAGGTTTTTTTTCATCGATTTAGCATCTTTCGAGCCTTTTGCTTTAGATATTCTATGGGCTTTTGCAGCTTTATTACCATCTAAAGCAACAAATCCCGAAGAAGGACCCATTAATAGATCTGGATCGGAATCCGGATAATTTCGAGTCTTTCCTAGAACAAGCATGCATGACTGGTCCGGAACAGTTGACTGTCGGACATGTTCGCCGGTTTGTTCCGTGTACATCCAATCTGGATCCTTATCTTAGAAAACTCATTAGAGGTAGAAATATTTTTCCAAGAATTTTGTTGTGGGAAGTATTTTATTATCAAAATGTATTCATCAATTATTTTGCTTTGTTCAAAAAAATTTTAATGCAAAAAAGTATAGCTCTGTAGCAATCGTGAATAATTTTTTGAAATCGTAATTTGATTTTTTGAATAACACTACAAAATACAAATATTTACATTTCAGAATGTCGTATTGGTACAGTACAACCGACTAAATCACTTGCTAGTCAACCATCCAATCCACCTGGTTTAGTAATCTCCGGTCCTGCTTGGCATCTTTTCAAAGTGAGCGACATATTTTACTTTTTTTCATCTCCATTTATAGTTCTGTTTTATCAGCGTAAGCCAGACTCCTAATCAAATTTGGATCTAAATTTTGAAATTCTAGTTTGAAAATTTTGATCGAATCAGAATTTTAAGACAGTGAATTTGAGTTTTTCCCACACTTCCTTTTTGTATCTCATTTCTCCACTTCAACTCCAAATTTCAGGATAAGAATATTTGGCGAGGAATTGAAGTACCACTCATTGAAATGAAGTTATCAGATGTAACTGACTTGGTGGAAAAGTTAGATATTGCAAGTGAACGGATAAGTGTTATTGTTGAAAAAATGAATGCATGCAATCTTACCGGTCTTGTTTTGTCAGCATGTAATTTATCGGAAGTACAAGACGCTCTTAAGGTTTTCTTTATTTAAGTTTTATAAATGGATTCAAAAAAAATATGCAAAATTTTCTCAGTTCCGAAATTTATGTTTCTCAAAACTGGTTGATCATGTTAAGCTTTCGTGGTTGATATAACAGTTCTCTTACGATTTCTGCTAAACTGAGTGATAGGTTTAAGGTTAGGATTGGAGAAATAGTTCCATAATATTTTCTTGGGAAACCGTGAGCGGTAAAGGCGAAACGTTTCTGCTTATCATTACACCAGAAATTATCAAAAATTTTTAAAAAATGCTTAAATTTTCAAGATAGGTCAACTTCTAGATAGTTATTACATATATATATATATATATATCAGTGACTTGAGACTGTCAAATATTCACTTTTTAAATTTATCTTGAATTTTTCTTTTTTTCTATGGTGTTCATTGTAGTTCTGTGTTTAGTTTATTAATAAAAGATGAAATTAATTAAATGAATATAGTTGGTAGTTTAAACGGATAATTTTATGAACTCAGAAATCGTTCTTTGCAGTTGAATTTGGGTGATTGGACACTGTTGAAGTTGCTAATTGAAACGCTTCGAACTTGGAAACCAATAGTGCCTCTGGATGGTGTTGAAACTCCTTCCCTAATGTCACCCATTCCTGCTCTAGCAGTATCAACTTCTCTTAATTCAATACAAGAGCAAAAGGATCGGTTTGCTCTGCAGGTTGTTTCTTTTCTAAAGCTCTTGCCAAGTGATGATTTGATCCATATGCAAATTCATCTCTTTATGTTAGCAGTTTCAAATGATGATGGCAAAGACTGAAGCTAAAATAGCAATCGATCTAACTTTCCTAGTGTCGTTCTTTTTATAATAACGTAATTATCACACATGATTCTTTTTTTCAAAGTAAATGGTGCTTAGATTGGCAGTATTAAATTTATGTTGTGGGTGTATTCATATAAAATATATAATTTTATGAAAGGAGAAATATAGCTCTTACATACTAATGCTAGTAATAAGTAGTGGGTGGAATAAAGCTTTCAAGGACTTAAAATTAAAAATAATCCAATATATTTCTTTTCACACATAAAGTTTTTTTCCTTCACGTCACTCATCCTGTAGTTGCTTTACGGGAAGATTTATCATTGATCTCCGATATATTGAATCTTATTTTGTAGAGGAATTAATATAAATACTTTATAAAGATTTGATAATGTACTTTGTTAAAATTACATAAAATTTTTAGCCGATGGACAGTGTAACATTAGATTTATAACAGTACTAATTTTTGAAGTTTAGGCAGAAACACAAGGTGATCATCAATGGATCTTGGAAAATTTTTCTGGAATGGATGTTGCAGAAGTAGACGACGTACTTCCTGCCTCTTCTGTACCATCCGTACATTTTGATGATGGGATTGCGTCGGAAAAGGATAGCACTGAAAGTGTTTGTGGGTCATATGAAAATTTGTTGGATTCTGAATCTGCTTTGCAAACTCGGTGAGTTTGTTATTTTCCTTGTCTCTACTTAAAAATTTTATGAAATTGGGAGATATTGAATATTTTTAAGTTCAAAAAACAAAATAGCTAACAATGGCTAGCTCGCAAAAGAATTGTCAATTACGAAAGTTTTACAGAAATCTTTGATACGTGTTGACTTATGTTGATTGTCCGAGTGTTCTTGCTTATAATTCCCGCACATAGTTGAAAATCAAAGTAAGGACATTGTTGGCTTTTACATATAACTTTAGAGACATATTCTGAACATCTATCATTTTTTTCATTAGCATTATTCTTCGTTTCCATTTTTAGTTTAACAAATCTTTGGAGTACAAGAAGACAGTAGCTGTAAAAAGTTTTTTCTTCTCTGAAATATTTACCATTTTTTCCAAGTTTTTTTACGTTAAAGTTAAAAGTTGTGCGCTAAAAGTTGTGGGCAAATTTTTGGAATTTTCCAAAATTTCCATACTAACATTATTCAAGCTTTTAGTGCGTGATTGCTTTTTTAATGTTGTTGAGTTGTGATTGAAAAAATTTTTCACACGGAATTTTCTGGAAAATGAAAAAGATTATTCGTTGAATATGAAATTACTAAATTATTTCAGAAAACTTTTGTAATTTTCTATTTATTTCTTTAACAAAAATTGATGTCAGAAGTAAGAATGTGGACGTAATGACGAAACGAGCACGATATGGCCTCCGACATACAAGGTATTGTGTGTGATGTTGGCTGTACTTCTTTTTAATCTTCATTGATATATCTCTAACCATTGTAACATTTAATTCGACAATCTAGGCTTTAAAAAGAATGAAATTCGATTGGATTTCAATAAAATTGTTATGGATTAATAAGATTTTGGGCTAGCTTTTGTTAAAGCATAAAATTTGGTGTTCGAAATCTCCATTTTATATTCATTTACCTCATTTTTTCAACCTTTTTTTCGATTCCATCAATTTTTATTCATGCATCTACAAACAGCTGCTTGATTTTGGCCACGTTTTTTTCTGTTTATGATAATTTTGAGTTTTTTTGAGAATTCGAATTTAATCACTGTTGTTTCAAGCACGACATCATTATTGTGAATGGAAACAATAATTGGTGCTGTTGGAGATGAATTTGTTGTTCGACCTTGGCAGTTCTATTATTTGGCCTTATTCTATTAATTAATAACAGCTTGAATTTACTGAAACAATATGTAACAGAGCCACATATTTTTACTAATCTTGCATTATTTACGCATTACTGTTTGCTCATGAATTGTTATACCTTTGCATCCTTTTCTTGCACAAAATAGTTTAAGCTGTAGTATAATGTTTACGTAATGCTATACATGTTTGCTATTAACTAACGTTGGAATAAATCTTTAATAATATTTAATTTGAGATCTTTATAATATTTATTATTCAGAATAAATAAGTTTTGATAAGATCCTTGCATTTTACAGTTTGATTAAGAAGATGGTAGTCTTATAGGAAATTTTGATCAAAAAAATAAGGGTTTGGTTTGGACGTTCTTTAGCAAGCATATAGGAATATATTTCTGGAATTTCTATTTTTACTTCATTATTTTGACTTTTGGAACTTTTTTTTATTTTAATAGAAGATGCACGAAAAGACTTTATTGATGTAGCAGGTGTTTCAAGGCTGAAATGGAGGAAACATGCTTTTGTGTTGAAAGTATAATATTTATTCTTTGATTTCTGAAACCATTCTAAATATGCGTTTTGTTTTTTCTCATTATTTTAATTTTGGGAGTTTAAATGGAAGATGCAAGTTTAAGGGAAGAATTGGTGAGCGCAATGCGCAAGGATTCAGTTCACTCCGACGTAAGTCATACAGGGACGCATAGTCAATCGGTATCTCGGACTCATCTACAGATTATCATGGATGTTTCCGATAATCAACAAACAGTGAAGGAAGTGAGCCCTTCTGAACGGCTTTCAGTGCTAGGTCTTTTTAATCATAATCATGGTGATTGATGACTTTTTTCCATAAACAGCTTAACCATGTTAAAAACTCATTTGATAATCTTATCTGTACTAACTTTTCTGTAAGCTTATTATCTTAAATTCTAGTACAATAATATATCACGTGTTGTCTTCTCTTTAGTTTGTATTTTCTAGGATGTCAGTTCTGGACCAGTTTAGTATCGACCCAAGGCTTATCATGAATGTTTTTGTTTTGAAAGATCTTCCGAAGATGCACATTGCTAACTTTTAAATTAAAGAAAAGTTATTGAATTTAGCTGTGTCAGTTCTCTTAAAACGTTCGTTGGGGCTTTCAGACTGTCAATTCTCGGTTTTATGTCACCAATATTAATTAATATTAATTCTGTATGATTTTCTTAGCATTTCAATATATGATGAAAATATTATTTACACGTTACACATAGCATAGAATTGGTCTGGAATGAAGAATGAAGTTTTAATAATGATAGCCAAAAATTTCATTCGTTCTATATTTTAGTGTTCTTTGATAGTAGTTTGACTACAATATTGTGAGTTTTATTTGAGTTTATATTTTTCGGAATCATTGTTGTGTGTAATCTCATTGTCTTACGTTGTCATTATGTTAGGACGATAAATTATTTCCAATAAAATATTTCAGTGAAAAAATCCTGTCCAAATGCTAATCAGATTGTTTTTTTCTTTTTTTGTTTCTTATTTTCATCTAATATTCGATGAAAAAGGACAAAATTGGTTGCAATGTGTTTTTTTTATATCAGATTCCAGTTATTTGTATTCTGAAATTGTAGCACAAATCTATAGATATCTATCAGGATTTTGGACGGAAAATTTACTTTCAGTGCATTCTCTTAAAGGAATTCATTGGGATCGAAGTTTCCTAAAGTTTGCTACTGTTTCGTTGGTAAATTTGGAAATGAAAGCGGCATATACACATTTACTTAAAAGTATGTTTTATTTTCGAATTGAAGTTTACGGTCGCTCGTACCCATATTTCTTTGTGAAATGTACGCGTTACCATGTCGTCGATATTTTGTATCCATAGCAACATATTTTAAACAAACATTTGTTGTTCCTGCATTCAGAAGATTAATAATATTCAGTATTGCCTAATGTTGAATTAGATAGCACTATTTCTTTTTAATTTAAATCAGATTTCATTGATAAAAATGCTTAAACCTAAATTGATCCGTCTGAAGTTTACACAATTCTTATGGATCAACGGAAGAAAACTATCGACATTTTTTAAGATACCCAAATTTTGAAATGCATTATTTCTAAACGTATATTGCATTATGAAAAAAAAAAAATAATGTTTAAGTTTTATTAATTTTTGTAGTTTTGAGAAAATTGATGGTGTACAGCAAAAAGCAAACTTTTTGCATTCTTAACTGGTTCTTATTTATCGTTGCTTCTATATCTTGGATTTGTGTTTTCATTGCTAGCATTAACATTTCAAAGCGTTATATCGAAAAATACGTCTCCACTCCTACCGGATAAATGAAATACAAAACACTCTATGAGAAGGTTAATTTTATTCTTCTTTATTATTTTAGAAGCAAAGATTTTATCACCGCTTCACTATGTATATGTACTTAGATCTTTCTATAAATTCTGATAGTGTATTTGCATAATACTAATATCTCGTAAGGACTACTTGTTTGTAATTGTTTCGATAGACATTCCTGACTATACTATTCATGCTTGGTGAATCATAGCTTTAAAATATCATTAATAAGTTCACAAATGCAGATTTTCAACAAAATTTTTGTTTTGTGGAAATTTTGTTCTTTTTTTATTATATTTCTATGACTGAGAACTTATTATCATTTCCGGTAAATTATTAATTTTCAGCCGTATACATGGAAGTATAAAGCTTCAAAATGCTCGATAGCTTATTGTTGCAGCATTGCCCTTTTTGTCTTTACATTATTGTTCACAATGTTCGTTACATTCACGACACAGGTGATTATTGTTTTTTTTTTGGGCAATTTAAAAATATTGATTGTTGGAATATTGAGTGATGAATGGTTTGGTTGTTATCGCTCTAATTGCTTAAAATTACAATCAACGAAAGTTATATTTTTGGAGGCTATTTATTTAGTATTAAGGATGTTAATCGTGTTATAGTACTTAAGCTTCTCAAAAATTTTTTTCTAAAGTTCTTACTCAATATTTAATTATTTTGCTACAATTCATGGATAGGAAGAGGCGTCTGACATCATCGCTTATTTTCAGGGTTTTTGGAAAAAATTCGGTGAATTTCGAGAACAAGCAACAGTTTATTACAAACAACGATTCATCGTATTACTGAAGGGAGAAATGCCAAACAGTTATTACATATGGAGTTCATACCCATTGCTTAATCATGCTGAAGAAACACATGTACGAATAGCGGTGCTGGAAGAATACGAAGGTGATTTTAATGATGATGGAAAACCTGATCTAGTGAGTTCTACATTAACTTTTGTACAAAATAAGATTTTTTTGCAGGAAGATTACCAACAAAATTATAAAACATAACTACTGAGCAGAAATTTGAAAGCTGTTCTTTTATTTACATAAATTAGGCATTGGAAAGATTGTGTATTGAAATGAACATCCCTGTAATTTCTGATGTTTTCTCATCCTATCTACTCGGCTACTCTCTTTTTAGATCGAATTGAATGTCACTTTTCCTATTGAAGAAAAAGATAAAATCTGTGGAGTTTTTTATATGTTTTTGTTTGAGTATCAACTTGATCAAAGGTCGCGCTTTTCAGTATGTGTTTCATTCTTGCACAAGCAATATTCAAAGATAAAGATATTTCTATTTCTTTAATAGAAGAGACGTAGAGTCTCATTTTTTATAGAACTGTATAGGGAAGTTTCTCTATAAAAAGTTGTTTTTTAATTATCCATTAAAAATGCAAGCATAACTTGAAGTATACATTCGTTTAAAATTTCAAGGAGCATAAAAGGAGCGTTCCAAGGAGCATATGGTTGAAAATTTTTATAAATTATTTAAAATGAAAGAGATGTGAAAATTACAGATGGAAACTGCAGTGCTTGATGATTTGGAACACGCCACTATGTCATCATCGGTAACAGTTTCTGGTGATCTTTGGTTGGATCAAGCGGCTCCACTCTGGAGTAGTGGCCGGGATCCAAACCATGGAGGGCCTCTAATCAATGAATCCAGTTTAGACTTAACTCAGTATAATCCTGCCGAAATTGTCTCACGCAATTCTTTTAGAAATTTCACAACAATTTTGAAAAGGTGAGTTGTTTTAGAAGATTTTTGCTTTTAATTGTACTGCCGATTCTTCGTTTTCGTTTTGCGTTATCTCTTTGATTATTTACTTCATTTCTGAGCAATGCCATATTATTTTCATAAGCTTACTGATATCAAAGTGGATCATTTTTTGAATTAGCTGGACCAGAATTCATTAAATGTATCATCAAATTATACTTAATTTTTGACTTAATTACTGTTTTTTTGCCTTACTATTTATTTTTTTGCTCTGAATGGAAACATCATGCTGACTTCTTTGAATGTGCTTACGTTCTGTAATGAGTATTTTTCTTCGTCCGTAATTTTTTGCTGTAGTTTAGCATCGCGCTATTGTTCAAATTTGATCAGAAAGATGATCTTGAACTTAAAAAACAAAAAACATTTGATTTTACTATAGAAAATGTCTCCGTCATATCGTGATGTAAAAGATGGACATGTAATTCACAATTTTTACTTTTTTTTTTGAAATGATGGTCATAATAACACACATATGAAACTCCCAACAAATGGGAAAATATCATTGTCTTTTTTGAAATTCAAAAACATAAATAGAACATCGCAATGATTTGTCATAATTTTGCATATCCACATGCAAAAATCTTTTTCAAGGTCTTTTTACTAATTCTTATTTTTTTTCTAATTTCTGTGTTCTTAGTGTTGAAGACTGCATTAAATTAGTCTCTGCTAGTGCATATTTGCTTTTCAGATGTGACTAAAGAAATAGGAATAAAAGTAATAGGAAATTCATAGACAATATAAGTAATAAATAGTAAGTGGGAGAGGTGCAATGTGAACAAAAGAAATAATTTCAAGGGTTCTTAATTCCTGTTTCAAGTTTATGATTTTAACTGGTGTGGTCTCAGAGAGCTTGTGAAGGCTATTCATTCTTTATAATTAGTAACATGAAAACATTAGGAAGCAAATTATTTTTTATGAATTTAATTCATTTCTTATATGATAAAATTTTTTTCCAGGAAGTCAGTTGTATGGACGCATAAACGAGCTGACAATAATAATTTCATATTACACCTGTCAATACGGATTCTTGAACAACAACTATTTTATCGAACAGGTCTTTTGGAGCTCTTAAAATGGGCATGGATTCAATATTTTGCCTGTTTCGTTATCGTTCATTATTTTGTTAACAAATTACGACAATTTTTGTTCGAAAATCATCTCCTCAGCACGATCGTTGCCCAACATAATCACTTAAATGAATTAAAATAATAGGTGATAATGAGGAATGATGACGAAGAGAAAAGCTACATAAGAAGCAGAGGATAATTATAGGCTTTCATTTCTTTGTTAATAGGAATTGCTTGGATTATTTGAGAAACATTATGTACGATACAAAAAAACCGTATATTAAAAATTAATTTAAGCAGATTTTTTTAATAAATAAGGAATATTTGTGAACATGAGAAATAGTTAAACCGAAGCATGTAAGAAGGATTTGTACAAGAATTAAGGAATTAATCCACCCACTGTTGTTATTGCTTATGTATTTTTTTCTCTCTCTCTCTCTTTTATTATTGCTGACTTTGCTTTTACTGTATTTTTTCTATTCATTTTGATCTGTCAAAATTTTCCTATGAAATTTAGATTTTTTATCCACTTGATTTATTTGCTGGAAGTAATGCATGAATTCTGTTAATAGATTTTCTCCGATGTATTATTTGCTGAAATTCCATTAAATAAAGTTAGAATTAACCTCCATAATAATTCAGCAAAAGAAAATTTCCCAATATTTTACTATTGATAATTTAACAAATGCCTATGCTGAGACATTTTCGGAGCATCGCTTTTTTCATATCTTGAAAATTCATTTTATTTATTTCTGCGTAATTTCAGTATTTCCAATTTTCATTGTATTTTGAAATTTGTTTTTTTTTTATTTTATTCGAGAACATTTATATCTATCGTTGTGAGCTTTTAATTGAAATGGCAAAAATTTTTTAAAAAGAATCAAAAGCTAAAATTGAACACATATTGTATGTACATTTGCATTGCAAATTTTCGGAGTGAAGCTATCTATCTATACAACAAGACAGATTTTATGTCGAGTTATCAAACGAAGATATTTCTATATCGTTCGATTTAATACTGGTATGGTGAATATCAGTTAAATGTTAAGACAAATTTAGTTAATTCAGGTATAATGAAGTGAAATTTTTCAACGAAGTATATGGAAAAAATATCAGAATTGATTAAATAACAAGTTTATCCATTATCTGTCAACCGACCGATTATATGAAATTTATCATAATAAACTCTAATTTATTGTGAAATGTGTTTCTTACATTTTTGCAATTAATTGCTAAAAGGATGAATGAGTTTGAATATATACGAAGGATAAATAAATTGAAGAAAACTTTTCCCTCTGTAAACTTTTGGCTTTGACTTTTTTCTCTTGCTACTAAATTGATCATTTTTATCTTACTGTGCAATCTACCTGAGCATTGTCAAAAACTTGATTACTTTATTTGATAGCGATTATTTGATTGAAATTTTAAAAATAATGGAATGAAGAAGTGTGATTTGATAGAAAATGCCTGTCTTAATCAAATATTAGCCAGTGATTATTCAATATCAAATTATTGGAGTGATAATCTCATGATTGATAACCTTTCATACAATTATTTTCATTTTCTCTGTTATATCGTAATTTTACCTCCTTTGTGATATCGTTTTGATATCGCAGATAAGATGAAAAGCTCGTTTATCATAAGAAGATAATAACGGGAAAGATAATAAGAAATTGAAGGGATAATTCTTAATTTCGGGTATTACAACAGAACGATCGAAGGTACGGCATGGAACATCTCTTATGGCAACATTTCTTGGCCACGACATGTAATAATTCTTTTGCATCGAGAGCTCTTCTGGTATCTGAAACTTAATGAACCTTTTTAAGCTGTACAATAAAAATTATAGTTTACAAAAAAATTGCTTTTGTAATAATTTAGATGAAGTTCAAACTGAGATAACAATTTGTGCCAGATATTAATAAAAATAACGGAGCGTATACTGAAAATGCAAAAAAAAAAAAGAAAAAAAAATCCCAAGCAATAAATTTATGAAATATTTAAAATTCTTAAATTGTAAATAAATAGAAATTTTTGAATTGCACAAAATTTGAAAAACAATCATGAAGGAAGTAAAATTGTTAAGAAATTTCCGTTGATTTATTTCAAAATTTTTCAAAAAAATTTTCTCAGGATTGATTTTGAAAATGATCATTGTATTTGATTAACAAATACTACTTAATAATTTTTAATTTTTGAAAATGGAACAAAAAAAAGAATTGAAATTACTAAAATCACTGTATCGTCGTGAAGGTAGATTGACTCGTATACATCCATTACAAGATGATATAATGAATGATGATATCCGGTCGATGCAGATACCCGTCGAGAGTGCTGCAGTTGACCAATGTATCCATAAAATACCAAATAATACGAGGGTGATTATAGTTGAATAGTTCATTTTTTTTATACCCACGTTGCTTACTGTAACTGAATTTTTTAAATTCTCGCAAAAAGCGATTTTATCGCAAAAAAAAAATTCTCGAAGAAAATGTTAATGAGTAAATGAAAGTCAAATTAATGAACAGATATAAATATTGCAAGGCAATAATGTAATGTGACGAAAAAATTAGTAGCTTTATCGATTAGATGAAAAAAATTCATTGATATTGATCAACAGAGGTATTGAATGGAGCAATTTCACAAGATTTCATAGATTTTATAATACGTTCAACGATTTTAACAAACTTTTCTCTATTGAGATCAACGATGTATCAAAAAGACAAAACAGCCAATACCCAATTCTTTTTTTAATAATTTTAAATTTTAAAAAGAATTCTTTTTTTTAGGCTACTGATCGTTTCGGTGATAACACGAGAACTGAACCGAGATAATTCAAGAAGAAGAGATTTTTGTTATTGATGTTTATCAATGACGATGATCTGAAGATCAGAATTGAAAGCAAAATGATCGAGGAAAAATGGACTTAAAATATTTTTATTAGCATGTGGTCATATTGATATTAATTCGGAAATATCACATTTGAAATCCCGAAAAACGAATATATGTAAATATTTGATGAGAAAGCATAATATTGCTAGAAATGAGAAAAAATTAATAACATTAGATTATTAGAATAAAAGAGCTCTAAGGAAAATACAAAATGAATGGATGAGCAAATTGCCAACTAAAAAAATATAGATTATTGATGGAAAAAAAAACGGTAAATTAAGGAAATATGAAACTACGCTTTGAACAATAATTGCAAATTACAAACAAATCATTCACTGATGTAAAAGAAAAGAAGGCGAAAAATTATTTCAACTTATTTAACATTTCAATAGATGACAAATAATCTACACAAAAAAGATTGCGTAGATTTTGAAAATTTTTTCAAATTCACTCTAAACGAACTGAAATAAAATAAATAAGTGAAATTCGGAATGAAATAATCCCGAATTTCACTTATTTATTTTATTTCGATTAAAGAATGAGCCATTTTTCAGTTAAATAACAATGATAAAAAAGTTGAAGAAAAATGAGATTTATGAGCAAGTTATTCAAAAAGAGAAAAATACCCATCTGAAAATCCGTGAATAAAATTCTATGGAAGATCAATTTCCTATTTGAAATTTAAAACTTTTTGCGGGTATTTGTGAAAATTGAAAATTTGCATTCCACCTACTTAAAGCAATTAACCGGTAAGCGAAGTAAGTAAAATATTGATTAAGCAATTAACAATTATCATTTAATAATGGGAATGATCACTTATTAGAGCATTCGTTTTTCCGCAGAATCCTTTCAAAATAGTTTTGCTTATTTTTAGTAGTCGTATTAAAGTAATAAATCAGCGATACTGGAAATAAAGGGCTTAGTTTTTCCTAAAGCGCAGATGTTAATCATTGTAATTATAGCTTTGCATAGATTAAAATTATGGCCTTCTTCGAGATTAACGGTTTTGAGTGAAGTTAATTAAGCATTTGACTTAATGATTAATGAAACGATGAAAGGAAATGAGTTGAACAGAAAAAAATGAATTTAAGTATAAATTATCATATAAAATATACATATGTTGGTTATTAATTAAACCTCAAAATAATTTTGGAAAATTTGTTAATGAAATTTAAGGCAAATTCTAAAAAAATTTTTTGATGGCGACCTTGTAATTTACTTCAACTTATAAGTTGTTTACCTAATATTTCTGATCACGTAATATTGAAGTATTAGAATTCAACAGATACTTAGAATGGTATATCTTTCAGTGTCACAATAAGGCACCATTAAATAAGACAAATCTCTAAAATGTCATTTCCCGATGTTAAACTTCCCAATTAATATTTAAATTCAGTAAGGAAAAGTGAAAAACGGAGTAAGTAATGGTACAATCATCAGTGAAATTTTTAAATTTTTTAGTGAGAAAGTCAAACATTGAAAATGAAAAGAAAAAAAATTCCGAAAATTTTGACTTATTAAAATGGAGTATTTCGATGTATTTTTCAATGGAACTGTATACCGATTATCATCGAAGGTTAGTCTTCAGAGTGAATCGTAGAATTACGTATTTTAATTCATCTGCTAATTAAAACTGAACAGTTAGAATTCATTTATAAATTTGATTTTCAAAAATTCGATAGATTTTTAACCTCTTCAATTATCCTTTCCTACAATTACACAGAAAGTAATTTCAGTAGCTGTATAGGAATTACTGGTTCCTATAGTAATAACCAGAGAAAATGATAAATAACACACATAGCTATTTATTATCATTAATGGTAAATTTTGAAGCATTTATCAAAATTTTAATTTTACAATTCAATGATAAAATTTCACTCAATCCTGTAAATATCTATTGATGATCTCAAGATCTCGAGCAAAAAGCTCGATATATCTTTCCATTGTTATTCAAGAATCATGTCATATTCAAGCAATTTATTGTTCTTTTCATTAAATATTTATTGCTATTACCTTTATTACCAAAAATATCAATTACTAATGAATTCTAAAAAATGACATCGATAAATTGCGCAGTTTAATTTATCTCGAAATAAGATTATCGTTACATGAATGGCTTTTATAGATGTATAATGAGGATTTAAATTGAATTTCAGATTTGAATTTATATGGAAATGAGATTTTGATTCATGTCAGAATTTAATCCTCTTCATGTGCGGTATAAGGAAAAAAATTTGATTAATTGAAGGAATTAATTAATCGAGTAATCTTTTCTATATCGAATTTTATAAAAATTTTGCAGTTGAATCTAAGAAGTCATAAAGTTTTCATTGTCATTTTCTTCCTAAATTTAGTGAAAGATTTAAAATATAATCTGTCTCAAGCTTCATCTTTCATTCAAATCTTTTTGCATTAATTCAAATTATGATCAAGGAAGAAAGTTGAAAATTACGAATCCAAAATTTAAAATTAGGAAGGAAATAAATGAAACAGTCTTGCAGTATTGTGTTCGTTAGCGCTTTTCCAATACGAAACATTTAATTATAATTTTTGCTATGTGCTCTTTTCCAAAGTGCAATTTTGTAGAGTGAAATTTTTTGATTGATGGACAATAACAAATTTATTTGCAATGCAAATAGTTGCAATTTTTTAACTTTCACTTCGTATTCCACAATTTAGATCCTTTCCGTTGAGCTGAATTAGAATATAATTAAGGCACTTTATTTGTAAATCTTATGAGTGATTTTATAAATGTGTAAATTTCGATGAACCTTCTTGCACTATAATAACAAATTTGCTTGCACTGAAACTGTACAAGAAAATTCACGAAATTAATTGTATAAGGAAATTTAAAGAAATCATAGTGCATAATAGATTGATCGTCTATCAATCATCGAGAAAAATAAAATCATCTTTCCTATGAAATGTTACTCTAAAACCCATTTAAAAATCCAAATTCAAACACTCCAACTCATCTCAATGACTCATCTCAGACAACCGCTGGGATAGAATTGTTGCATCATGGTAATGTCAATATGATCATATTCACTCTCTGCAACACTCTTATATTTTTGCATCTCTTTGAAAAAGGAACAGGTTATTGAGGTGGAGTGTTATTGGCAAGAATATTGTGATTATTTGAGAGGAGTGAAAGATTGCTTAAATAGAAAAATAGTATAGGAGTAGGAGTCAGGAACATTAAGAAAAGTTGAAAATGAAAGAAATGACAGAAAGTGTTGAAGTAAATTGATTTGTTTGAGTGAAAGGAATATGCAAATTGTATGGATGGTAGTTTTAGCAGTGAATGAGAGTGGTAAGATGTCAAAGAAAAGAACTGAATCGTACATATGATAGAAATATATTAGATTAATCCGTTAGAATCGTATAGGAAAAGAATTATGAAATTTGGAAATGGGTGAAACTTGTGGATGGGATAGGAAATTTGTTAGGTCGAATATCACAATCGCAAATTAGTCAACTTTTGAATTATTATCCACAAAAATGAGGGAATATGTGTGATGATATCATTTGATGTCAGTAATCATTTCAGGCATATGATAATATATTAATTTCACATGCAGAAATGGTAGTTGCAAGTGTTGCTACGACAGAAACGATCCAGGAGGATCAGCTTATTCAGGTAAATACCACACATTATCTGAATAAGAAAGAGAAAGAGAAAGAAGATTCAAGTTAAGCTAATGTATAAAAATGGATTCCATCAATTCTAGACATTACTTGTAATAAGGAAGTGATGTTTTTGAAACATAGTTTGATTTTTACATTTACCCAAAATATTGTTCTTTGTGCTAGTATTTTGCCCATTCAGCAAGTGCTACTGATGATTTAAGGAAATGAAATTTATTTTTTATGACCAGTTTTGGATTGATTTTGTAAAATATCACCAATAAATTAAGACTAATTGATCAAGTGACAATCTGAATAATGATTTTTGCTTACTACAGTAGGTTTTCTTCAAATACTTTTTTACCAATTTGATGTTCTTTCTTGCTAATTTTTAGATAGCTCGACAGCACTGGGCTCCTCATGCGCCACAAAATCGTCCATTTGATCCAAATTTAATTGATACAATTTATGAAAACGAATTAGTGCGAAATCTTTTTATGCAAAAGAAAGTCATCGTGCTGGAATTCAGGTTACTTTCATTTTTTCAGTGAAACATTGAAGAAAGCTTTTAGCATAACAGATGTACAATTTTTCCAATCTTTTTTGAGATTTTGAAGTTGTTTTTAGTGAGTATGACACACATATAAAGGAAGTGAATTAGCCTAGGTAAAGTATCATAAGCCTTGTGTTACACTTCTCTTACTCCAATTTATACTTCAATCCTATCTTTGAAAGGACTCAACCTTTTGCCGTCGGTGTTTCCTGCAGTACTCCTGTCATCATAAGAAATTGTTTCCAGATCTTGGCTTCTCATCTCTCCTTTCTATTTGGTTATGATAATTCTTGATTTTATTAAGATAAAATAAAGGAAAAAAGATGTTGCTAAACTTTAAATTTTAGTCAGTACCTCGAGCGTTATCTATGGCCGAATTTTAATGCAGAGAGAGCCAATAATCATTATGTTATGTCCGTCGTAATTATGCTCAACGCAAAATTCCGAGAAAGGATTCCAGTTTGGCGTGTAAGCTATATTTTCTTTCATTTTTTCTTTATTCCACGACAACCTTCTTAATGGTAACTCATCTGACTATTATAATTATTAATAATTATAATTGACACTTTGGCTATTATAATTATTAATAAATGACACTACTTAAAGTTCACAGCTTATGTATTAAGCTATCATGCAATGTGGTAAAGATATAAAATTGATGTTACCATTAAGAAAGTTGTTTTGATAGTGAGAGCAATCCTGTTTTTTTCTTTTTTGCTTGATGCATTTCGTATTCGAGGTGGTATTTCAGTGTATTATTGAACGTCCGGCTCAGTTTCCGGTTTTCTTTCGAAGAATTTTGCATCTTGTATTAGATGTTGAACAGATTACATTATTAGAACGGTCTGCAATTATTACATTCCTAATCAACTGCTTCAACTCAGTAGCAAGTTTTTTTTTTTTATCGTGTCATTTATTGGCAAAACTTCATATTAATTTTATTAATGTGTAGTGAATAAAATTGCTTGATCTTTAGAATCATGAAACTTTTTCAAGCTAATGAGAGATGATCCAAAATTTAGAAATTTTGCATTTCAACTCGAAAGGTCGGAGAGCGAGATCAAATGCTTTATTCTTAATTGCAGATAATTTAATTCGCTAAGGACTATGACTTAAAATTGCAGGAAGTGGATTTAGTGAGAAAGGAAGTGATGAAAATAGTTTCACTTACGATGTGGTCCAATTTGCTTCCGGTTGGTTTTATACTTTACTTTTCTTGTTATCTGAGGTGTTGCTACCAAATTTTAAATTTATTCTTTAAAAATATGAACCCAAATGTGGATTTATTTGCTGCTTTGTAATTTTTAGACTCAAAGAGAAGATCTCTTCCAAGCAAACCCAAAATTGCGGAAAATATGGAATAAGATCGAAACGAAGACAGAGTTAAAAACAGCTGAAGAAGAGGAATTATTAACTTTTGAACGTACATTTATGTGGAATTTGTTGCAAATTTTCAAGCAAACGCTGGCGCATGTTGATGACGAATCTAACGGTTTGCTTCATATGTTTGAAAAATGATAATTAAAGTGTATATATATATATGATATCCATCAATTTTTCTCTTTCTATGTTTTCTTCAATTCGCTAATTTTTTAGAAGTGGGAATTGATGGCATACATTTTTTGGAATGTTGCTTGCAGTTATTTATTGATTTGGAAGCTTTATTGACTACAAGGTATGTCATTGCAGTGGACTTTGAAATGATTTTATTCCTTTATCATTAGATCTTAAATTTCCTCCAGCATTTGACAAAGTATAAATTAATCTGCACAGTTTCAAGCTGGTATGTTGAGTTTCATTCTAGGTATCGATATATGATTTAGATTGACTGTTACCGCAACTGATTACTGCAACTGAAAATATGTGGGTGAGAAGCTTGAAATATTGGATTTTTTATTTTAAGTACCATATCTTATAGCACACAAAATACACTTTAGTGATTTTCTGGCATCCTAACAATGTTCTCGTTTTTGTATCTTTAGGATGAGACTTTCAGTCGAGTCTAATCACTAAATAAATGTAAATTTATATTGAATTGCTGAGCGGATACTTCTGCCTTATTATGTGGATATTTTTTTCCATAAATGCTAGTTTCCATATTTTATATTCCAGTCATTAAAATCAGTTATTCGAAAAGTGCATTATTTTAATTTCAAAAATTTTCAGTTAATTTTTAACTTTCTCATATTATAGGCGTTTCTTTAATGCTATATTGCATGCAAGTAACATATTGGTAAATTGTACACTATCTTCATTGATAACAGCAGAAGTTGGGGGATTATTTTGTCAGCTTGTCACAATGCTGAGGTTTTATTCACGTTTTGAAATCGATGATGTTACCGGTGAGCCGCTTACTCATAACCAAGTAAGTCATCACCGTTTTGAGAAAATTTCTTGCTAATCGCCTGAGTATTTCAATTTTTGTATTAATATTGCTTTTTTGACTTATGTTAAAATGACTGTTTCAGATGTCTGAAATGCACTACACGCATATTATGAAATTACAGAAAGCTGCCTTCAAGTATTTCAGGTTGTTTCAAAACTTATATCGATAATCTAAGTTAATTGGAGTTTTCAATGTAATATACAAGAACTTTAAATAACTATTAGGTGTTTGAAATTGCTAACGCTTTGGTCGGCGAAAAGACTGAATAGATTAATTAACTTTCTGGATGCGCTTGTGTAACGAATTTATTAGTTCATTGTAAGTTCATTGTTGAGTAATTTATTCAGTTTATGAATTTATTCAGTAATTATCGAATTAGTTTGCTTTTTTTCATTTTAGGGAAAGTATGTCCGATTTTTATTTATTAAATGTTACTGCTGTTGATACAAGGAAAGCTTTGATAAAGCAATTTTCATCAATGAGGTATATTTTTTTATAATGTTATTAAGAGATATTGTTGAAATAAGCATGGTTTAGTTTTAGTTTCATAATTTGTTTTTTGAACAATAAATAAATTGTGTCTTTTTAGTGAATCGGAATTATATAAATTTGCGGAATATCTACATTTGGTACCTTCACAAGAATTCAACTTAAATATTTCATCGAGTTACGAAAAGAATTATCTTATTGAAATGATTGTAAGTTCTTTTCATTTTTATCCTTAATTATTTTGAGTGGAGAATAAAATTTCAATGAAAGATATTTAACAATATCAGTAACTTCATTTTTTGTTACCTATGTTTGGAAAATTCTATATCAGTTTGGGTTGATATTATAAACGTTAAAACTGGACGCGGTAACGAGTTTCTGTTTCTGTCAAAATGACCTTAAATTAAGTTTTTATGTTGAATTTAAACATAAATGCTGAGTATTTTGTTTTTATTTCTGATTTCGGAATAACAATTTTTACAAATTTCAGACATCACGTTGTGAACGACGCATCAACCAATTACAGCAGCTCAATGAACAACCGCTTTATCCAACTGAAAAAGTCATCTGGGATGAAAATCTTGTTCCATACGATCAATATAATGGTGAAGGTGAGTTTTGTTCTTCAACTTGTGCACATTTGCTATAAGCACTCTTGTAACTACACAATTTTTTTTCTACAGATATACAGAATTTTTTTTAGAAATAAGGATTTAAGTCATACAAAATTTTTTAAACAAGTTATACAGAATTTTTAGAAATTAAAATTTTTATTTGTTGTAAAGATAGAGGGAAGTCCATAATAAATTTATCGGATTTTTCTTTGCTTCGTTAAAGATTGATTTAAATTTTGTATAGTAGTCCATTCGAATATTAAATCTAGTGTAATTTATAATCTTTGAATCTCTCTAAATCCGATACTTCATTGTTCTTTTTTGCTATTTTTAGGTATACTTGCACTGAATAAATTAAATATTCAATTTTTGACATTCCACGACTATTTACTTCGCAATTTCAATCTTTTTCAAATGGAATCAACATGTAGGTCATTATATTAATTGTGTTTATGATTACGTTAAGTACTCTTTCAAATAAATGGTATTTTTTCGTTGACTTTTTCTAGTTTTTATGATTGTTCTGATGACATTTCTTTTAATAGCACTTTAATGCTAGGTTTACCACATCCCATATGTTATGGTCGTTGGCATTGATAAAAATAATGATAAATTATAAAATGAAATTTATATATGCTTTTTTTGGAACAATATTTAAATACCAGTGTGCTTCAGATGAAATTCGTCAAGATATCGAAGATGCCGTATTTCGTTTGAAACCATGGGCCCATGAGTCAAATCCAAATGAAACTGTTTGGGGTGGATGGGCACGAATGGCCTTGCCGTTAATCGAATTTCAGGTTTATTTTATTTGAAATTCCTTGAATGTCTTGCAATCAATACTTGAAATTTAATTTTTTTCGTTGTGATAGATTATCGATTTGCCTTTATTATCAGCTTTCATCATTTTAGATTGTCGAGGTTGGTAAACCTCTCATCGGTGAAAAAAGTCCATCTGTTGTCAAAGCAGATTTGACGATCAATTTACCAAGGCGCACTGACATTCGTGCGGAATGGGAAGGTTAATTTTTATGGATATTTTTTAGCTAATGTTAGCTAACCAAAAATATTGTATTGATATCCGTGCATCTTATTAATCCTATATTTTAGTTTGGATTTTTATCTATTTTTTCATTTTTAAATGTTCTACACTGCAATTAATGTTGATCAAGATCAGATGTTCATATTGCCAGCAATTTTATCAGGAGGTGGATTAAATGGAATTGCATTTTGACAAATGCCTTCGGCCTGTATCTTAATTCAACATTTCAACATTATGCTTTCGTTAAAAAGTTTAAAATTAAACGGATTTACTGTCAAAATTCGAAATGTGCAAATGTTTTCAAGTGTTGATATTCAATAAATGTAATCATCCTTAGTTTCTTTTTGGTGCTTCTTTTTTAGAGTTGGTTTTGAACGAAATAACAGATACAGAATATTTTAGGTCTTCGAAAACATGATGTTTGCTTTTTGATTTGTTGTCGACCTAAAGCTTCAGTTGGTACCAAATATAATATTACAAAACCATTCAAAGAGCAAATCGATGTTACACTGGTACGTGGATGTGAAATCGAAGGCATGCTTGATTCAGAAGGAAAAGTCATTGAGGAATATGGTATTAGTTTTACTTACAGCTATTGATTTTCTTCATTGCTTTCGTTATATTCTTTTAAAGTGATTATAGATAAAGACTGCTTTTGGTCTAGAAGTATAATTTGGTTTGCTGAAATCATTCTTCATCAAATACTATTTGAAGTAATTAGTTTGTTCGAGAAAAATAATAATACAATAGCAAGAAATTGGTTGATAATTTAGCTGCATACGAGAAAAAAACAGTGCTGGTAGGACTTACGAGAAAATTTAGAGTATGGCTTGATGAAAATCAATATCGCTTGGATACAGAAGGAGAAGAAGATGCGATAGATGTATGCTTAAATTTTTTTTAAATAAGGAGTTTTGTAAGTAAACCTGATAGCGATTTCTCTTACTTAATGAAAGAAACGAATTTTCTATGTGCATAAGGAACTTTCGTATCATCAGATTATAGCAGCAGTATTATTTATTCATTTCAGAATATTTATTATTCGTTCAACTTACTCATTCGTCGTGATCCAAAAACAAATAATTTCAAAGCGGTGCTTGCAACAATCCGACAGTTACTAAATACAGAATTTGTAGTGCCGGATTGGTTACATGATCTCATTCTTGGCTACGGTGAACCAAATGCGGCCCATTATAAATCGTAATCATTTCCTGATTTTCCATCTGCAAAGTGTTGCCAAGCAAATTTTATGCAGCATTAGCTGAAAAATGCTTTCAGAATGAATACTGCGGTGCCCACAGTGGACTTCTGCGATACTTTTTTGTCGTACAAGCATCTGATTTCATCATTTCCAAATACGAAGATTGTAGGAACAAATGATGAAGATCTCGTCCCACCTTTTAGGTTTACTTTTTATAATTCCTGGAAAGTATGATTTAGAAAAATGGAAAAAAAGAGTATTTGGAAGTTAGAACTATCTTGTCAATACATTCCTACACTTCGATTTGTAACTAATTTCTTGCATCATATTAAATTTCCATTGTTAGTCGGTTCTCTAAACGTATGCGGTTTTCAGGTTGACCTTCAAGGAACTGGAACCACAACATGATCTTGAGCCATCCATTCGAAATACGTCGATTGTTGTAGAACCGCACGTAATACCTTGCCGTGGACCTTATCCTCATGTTGAACCACGCAAAAATACTATACAGTTTACTCCAGCCCAGGTGCTTTTCTTATTTAACAATCACTCATTTTTCGTTTAATAATAATTTGCCGTCTTTATTCATCGAGGACGATTTTTTTAGGTAGAAGCAATCAAAGCAGGTATGCAACCTGGTTTAACGATGGTTGTTGGTCCTCCAGGTACAGGTAAAACAGATGTAGCGGTTCAGATCATTTCTAATATTTATCATAATTGGCCTGAACAGCGAACCCTGATTGTGACACATTCTAACCAAGCTCTTAACCAACTTTTCGAGAAAATTATACAGTTGGATGTTGATGAGCGTCATTTGCTTCGATTAGGTATGTTTGAAAACTAATGAAAAGTGAAATTAAATAATAAAAGATAATGAAAGAAAATTTTTCTTTATTTTGCAAATTATTATAGCATTTTTGCATTACATTCTTTTTCTTATTGCAATGGATGTTTCAAATTGAGGTTCCAGACTTCTTCAATTCATGCCTTTGATCCATGTCTAACCATCACTAAAACATTCTTCACGATTATGAGTGTTTAAATTGCTGTATGCATTAATATCCATCTCCTGATATGTTTTGATATCTGAATCATATTGAATTTAGGTCATGGTGAAGAAACTTTGGAAACGGAAAAAGACTTCAGTAGATATGGCCGTGTAAATTATGTTCTGCAAAAACGGCTTGATCTCTTAAAAGAGGTAAAAAATATCGTTTTAAAAACGAGTGTGAGAATAAATAAACTGATCAGATAAAGTAAACGGCATTATGAAAATCTCGATTTTGAAACTCATCTTTTAGCTTTTTTCTTAAATTAAATTTTACTTACCAAATGTTAAAGTTTTCTTTCAGTTGAGTGAATATTGAAACTGCTTTATCATTGCAGGTTGAAAAGTTACAAGAAGCTCTTGATGTTGGAGGTGACGTCTCATACACATGCGAAACTGCTGGATATTTCTTTCTTTATCAGGTCTTTACAATCATTTCTCTGCATCTTTTTTAATTCTCTTTCCTTCAATAATTTTTGATCATGAAGCAAATGTCTTCTTAATTATCAATATCTTCAATTCTTTGAATTTTAATGTTTGATGCCGTGATGCCATAAATCTGTACTTTGATGCCTTTTATCTAGGTATTCGCACGTTGGGAAAAATTTGAAAGTGATGTTATTCAATCAAAAGTAAATCCAAACCCGAGTGCGAAAGCAATTGCTGATCATTTCCCTTTTACACGATATTTTGCCGATGTTCCGCCACCTCTTTTTAAGGTCAGAAATGTTTTCCATTCTTACTGGGCAAATTTTACCGATGTATTCTTGTACAATTCTCGCGAGCTGGCTTCTCGATGGATAGAATGTATTGAGTTCATTTTCAAGTTCATTTTCAGTTTATTTACTTTATAGTTCGCAATTTTTTGCTTAAATATTGGATTGTTGCAATTTTTTATTTAACGATTTTAGGGTGTTTCTTTTGATGAAGACTGGGAAATTGCTCAGGGCTGTTGGCGGTATATTCGTAGCATTTTCACTCAACTGGAAGAATTTAGGTCTTTCGAACTGCTACGTTCGGGCAGGGATCGTACGGATTATCTTTTGGTTAATTTTAATATATTTTTGTGCACGTTGTTTAGTTTTTATTTAGAATGTTTTTATTGATCAAATCGGATTTAGCAATGTTTATTTCAAGTTTACAACGTTTATTTTATTTCAGGTAAAGGAAGCCAAAATTATTGCGATGACTTGTACTCATGCGGCTCTACGGCGAAAAGATTTGGTAGAACTTGGATTCAGATACGACAATATTTTAATGGAAGAGGCTGCTCAAATTCTTGAAGTTGAAACATTTATTCCACTTCTCCTTCAGGTAATTAGACGCATATTTTTGTATTTCAAGTTCCTTTTTTCATTTCCATTTTTTAGGGTGCCAGATTTTTTTGTTAAATCTTGTTCTACTACCATCGCTGTAATAAAATATCATAGATTTTCAGAACCCACAAGATGGCAGGAGTAGGTTAAAACGATGGATTATGATTGGTGATCATCATCAGCTGCCACCGGTTGTTCAGAATATTGCTTTTCAAAAATATTCTAACATGGAACAGAGTCTGTTTGCAAGATTTGTTCGACTCGGTGTTCCACATGTTTTGCTCGACCAACAGGGCCGTGCTAGAGCTGAGTATGTTTTGGATACTTATTCTTGGAATTACGAATAATTCTTACTGGAGTTTTCAAGTCCAAAGGATATGACCTTTAACGTGGTAAATTTCAGAATAGCAGATCTTTATAACTGGAGGTATGAACGGTTGGGTAATTTGCCGCACATTGAGGCTCTTCCAGAATTCCAACGAGCAAATTCTGGTTTTGCATTCAATTATCAACTTATTGACGTTCCAGACTTTAATGGTGTCGGCGAAACAACGCCGAGTCCTTACTTTTATCAGGTTTATTATTTTTTTAATGTTTTCATTCTGCTAGGGGAAAGTCTTCATTTAAAGTACAACTTTTTTAGAATCTTGGTGAAGCGGAATATGCTGTAGCATTATTCACATATATGCGCATATTAGGCTATCCTGCAGAAAAAATATCAATTATAACAACTTACAACGGTCAAGCATCATTGTTACGTGATGTAGTGCAAACGCGATGTGCTGAAAATCCTTTAATTGGAGTACCACATAAGGTTTGTTATTACCAGTCCTCGGATATGCATTTTTCAGGTGTTTTCGTAATGTGGTGATTTTTTCTTGTTAAATTTTATAAAACTTCCCTTCTGTACTCTACAGAATTATGATATTACGTTTTGTATGCATGAATTTAAAAAACTTTCCAGTGCTTAAGAACATACACCATACTCTATTTAGAAGCGAAGGGAGAAATGATGCACTCTAGTTTATGTAACTCTTCATCAAACGTCAATTGATTAATTATAATAACTATTTCTCTCTTTTTCAGATTTCAACAGTTGACAAATATCAGGGGCAGCAGAATGATTACATAATTCTTTCACTTGTAAGGACGAAAAACATCGGTCATATAAGGTTTAATTACGGATTAAGAAGTTTATGTAACTCATCAAGCATTACGAAAGCATATTTTTAATCCGCCATTGTATTTTCTTGTTATGTTTAAAACACTTTAAAAATTTCCTTGCTTTCCATGTTTTGGTATTAACAAACAAAAGTAACACTTTAATTCTAGGGATGTTCGTCGTTTGGTAGTAGCTCTTTCTCGTGCACGTTTGGGCCTTTATGTGTTGGGACGAGTCAGTTTGTTCCAAAATTGCCTTGAGCTTGCAACCGCATTTCAGCGAGTAAAGATTTTTGCATTTAAAAGATGAAAATTGATTTCTTATATATGTTATCTAATGATAGAATTGTCAATCTTCAATTAGACCATTAAATCTCTGCATATGCCATGGAAAATGTTTTTCTTTCAGTTATGCAAATATCCACAAAAGTTGATGATAATTCCTCATGAAACATACTTAATGCATCGAAAGGTAAGATAGCTTTCTTAAAATAATTTTTCTGTTCTATTCTTTTAAAATACATCTTTTTTTCCCATTACTTTAAGTTAATTTAAAGATAATATAAGTTCTATCAAAACCAGATCCTTTTTTTAGGAAGAATATCATTTTATTTTAGAATGGTGAACGTCTGGCATCCAAACCAATTCAAATCGAAGATACGGTTCACATGAGTACGTTCGTCCACCAATTCTACATGGGTAATATGGAACAAATGAAGAAAAGTTATAAAGAGCATATGAAGGATTATTTCGATGCTCGTCAAGTAATTGTTTCTGATTTTTTTTTTGTGAGGGGCTACAAAATGATTTGATTCCCTTATAGATATTTAAAAATTACCTGTTATTAGAAATTTGTACGGGTTAAAAGAATTCACTTCTCATATATATTTCCCAAACTTTTATTAACGTTAGAAACTTTATTTCTGTTACGATGCTTTGATTTTTTAATTATTGTTTTACTCTTTCACTTATTTAAATCAGTGGCAGAGCTATCTAATAAAATCCTCCTCCAAACAATTTAATTAGCATTTGATTACTCAGCAGCTTCAATTTTTAGGCCGCAATTAATGCAAAGTTGGCAGCTGAAGCGGCTGAGAAGGCTGCTGAGGAGGCAAAAACTGAAGAAGAAAAGGGAGTACCAGAACCAACTGCAATGGAAGTAGAAGCTGATATCACTTTCGAAACTATGGACTTTGAAAGACAAGACCCAGAAAAGCTAGGAAAGTGATGCACTAACATTAATTTTGCATGCTATTGAAAGGATCTCTGTGTATAGTATCTGTTCTTAGAGAAGGGAAAAGAATAAGTGAAAAATTTTTTGTTGAATTTTTTAGCATTTTTGTTTTGTTTAAAGTCGATGAGAAAAATGAAGTATTGTGCTTTTAATAGATAATGATGTATTGTTTTTTTTTTTGCTAAATTACTTTAAGCAATGAATTTAGTCCACACTAAGATAGCAGTTTATATCTCCATAATGAGTGCAAGATAAAGCAGAAGGATTCGTCACTAATAAACGATTTTCTTGGCTACTTTTGAGTGCAGTGAAATATGAATGGGTTGAAGGAGAAAAGAACGATCAAAATTACACCGTTTATTTGACAAATTTTAGAGAGTTTGGTCAAATTTGGGATTTGTGAATTTGGGGTGAACAGTTTAATGAGTAATTGCTTATGTGTGAAGTTTAATTATTTGCGATTGGTGTTTAGGCGGTAAATGATACATTATTTATCCATGTGATTTGTTAGACACTCCCTCTTTATCAATTTTTACGCGTTTGTAAGAACGATGATAAATCTTTTTGAAATGTAGTTTTGTTAATTGTGGAGGAAATATAGTAGATGAAAAAGTTCTTTTCTTGAGATGAACAAGAAAAGTGCCAAAACTTTTCACCGACTGCATTATTCAGCTTATTTTAGGAAGGCTTGTCGGCTTTCTTACCTTATTTAATTTGTTTTGCATACATTAAGAAAAAGGCAAATTTCCTTAAAAGTATAAAAGTGTAATTAACAAATTCTCTATTTTGCACCTTTTTTCAAAGTTCTATGACTTGCATAAAATGATAATGATAGTTATGACTTAATAATGACTAGAATTATAGTTTCTGAGTCTTTCAATTTCTTAATTAAAGTATTGAAAGAATTCTAAAAAAAGTTTAGGAGAACTATGCACAAAGTTGAATAAAGTGGTGACTTAATCGATGTTCCGCTTTGGTAGCGTTGGCCATTGTTATCAATTCTTTATCTCAAATCATTTCTCTGTGAATTTAGATGAAATGTTGTATGATTTTGGGAAAAATTTTTCATCTTTAACAATGTTAAAAAACAAGAATTTTTATATTGGTATGTAAACAAAGCAAAGTAAAGGAAAAAAAAAAACAAATTCATTTTCCATGTTTAGGAGCTATTACGAAAAACCTGGAATATCATGCATAATATCACAAATGTGAAATGTTTTCCTTTGTTTGGATTTGGAGGACGGATTTTCAGGTGCTATTTTAGGCGTGTAAAATTTCGATTCTGAGATCAAATTAACAGTGGTCGAATGATTCTGAATGATTTCGCATTCCTCATTACCACTGGGTTTTTTTACTACTTCATTTTCTGGTTCTTCCCGAATTATTCCTTCAGGACGAGGTATTGTTTTTTGGAGGATAGTAGTCTGAGAATGTGGGACTTTTTTGATGACAGTGGTTTTCAAGGAACATAGTCGTTCGTGGCGTAATTTACCCGAATAGTTATATAGTACCCGATTACAGTGAAAGCATTTAAACCGTTTAACGGTTGAATGGTAATAACTGAAATGGCAATCCAAATCGTATGCTGAACTGAATCTGCTAGTACACATCATACATTCATGAGGTTTTTCGTGAATTTTTGCATGTCCTGAAATTTAAATTTGAAAATTTATGCTTTCAGAGGGGGAGTCCAACATTATGCTTGAAATCGAGATAATAAAAATTAGTAATTAATTTAAAATACATCTATTTAAAAAAAATGCTTCAACTAATGAGTCAAAGCTTACTGCTTAAAGCACTCTGCCCGGACAGGTGTTTGCTGCAAATTGTGCATCGAAATAATTTGCCTTTATGTTTAGCTAAATGTTCCTTAAAATTATAAAAAGTTTCATAGGTTCGATCGCACTGGTTGCACTCGAATAATTTCCGTTCACCGTTATTTTCTTTCACAAAATTTGTTGAATGCGCTAAAATTCAAAGTGATGTAATCTAAACATCAAAAATAATTGCAGCAACATAAAATCAAAAAACTATGAAACTTTGTTGAAGTAATTTTGGAACCTAAGAAATTCCGCTGCAAAACTATGATCACTGACCGGAATGTTTCTTAAGTTCATGCGCTCGCATACGTTTCTCTGATATGAATGTTCTCGCGCATTTTGTGCACTCATATTTACGCTCATGATGAGCCATCACATGATTCTGAATGCATCAATTTTTATCAATACTTATTTACTATCTAAATCTTCAACATTGTACAAAGAAAATGATGTCATTATGTGTTTGAAATAAATAAAATTCTTGCATTAAAGACAAACAAGTAAATAAAATTCAAAAATTAGAAAAAAAAAAAAAACATAAAATCAAAATCTGAACAGACCTGAAGATCTCTGTTTGATCCATATATCTTGCCACAGATTGGACATAAACCTTTCGGCAATGTAATATTACTTGCAATCAGATTCATCGGATGCAGGTTAGTAATGGGAAGTGAGAATAAAGGCAAGAACGGCTGAGTACGATTCTGATTAGTTGAAAATATGAATTCGTTGATTGGCCCAGTAAATTTCGAAATGTCAAAGGTTAAGTGGACCGGAACTGGTGCTGATGCATTCGCTGGAAGAATGAAATACCAAAAAGTAATTTTTTTTCGTTATTTCAGATGAGTAAGTTTTAATTCAAAAAAAAAAAATATCAGAAAAACTCCTGTCTATTGATTCATTAGATAATTTATTGTTTGGACTTATTTAATTACCCATTAACTTAGTTCCCATTTCATCACTTCATCACTTACATAAATTATAATTAAAATCTGCGTACTTTTGTAAAAAATTTGAAAGAGCTAAAAACAGTTTTTGTAAAAAACTGTTTTTAGCCCTTTCAATCATCCCTCGATGCTAATTATCATTAACAATGTAGAATGATTATTACACATAACTTTATCATTTTCCTGATAATTATTAACGCATATATAATGCAGCAATAAGAAATACTAAAGGTAACATATCTATCGGATTATTTATAAATGTCATTTAAGGTAATTATAATTAATTGTAATTTCACTGAACTAAAAAAAATTTCCTATTCAAAATTTTAGAATATTATTGATTATAAAAAAATGGAGAATTTATGAATAACACAGAAAAAAACTTTATGAGAAATAAAAGAAAAAGAAAATGTATGAAGTAAAAGTTAACATACCCATATGAAATTATTCTCTTTTTGCAAACTAGCAATATTGTAATGATGAATGAATGAAGAAGAATGATTGAAGTTCAGAAAACTGAACAAATAAATGACTTCTTTTAAAAGAGCAATAACTAATATGTAAATTTGGGTTTTGCTAGAATTGAAAGGGTGGAGTGAAATTGACCGCCATAATTGTCAATGGATGGAAGGGAAAAAATGGAATGGGATGCTTATCGTTTTATTGTCTCCGAGTAATTTCGATACTTCATCAAAATGAAGATAACAATCTTTTCGAACTTTCTGATAAATTTTACACTGTCATGGAGGATGATAGAGTATGAACGCTGTTCCATCCGTCAAGGTTATTCATGAAGTGAGGTTCAACGCATAGCTTTCTTAATTCCTTCACATACAATTTGATAAGATCAAAAATTTTTGAGAGATGGATGAATTTTTGATGAGAGTGAGAAAAAAAAAGGGCAGCATAGAATGAAAGAGGTGTTATTTGATGAGTTATCTTCAAATTTCAAAACTATCGTTCCGTTTAATTTGCTCAAAAATTATCCAAATTACTTTTCATTCCTCTCTCCATGAATTTCATTTGTATGCTTGTGAATATATCAATCTTTGAGAATATTCATTTATTCCACTATTTAAAATACGAAAAAAAAACACCAGAAATTCGAAGTGAAGAAGAAGAAATAAAACAAGATGATTTCTATATTCCAAAATTTGAAATGCACCCATAAATTCTCAAATTTGAAATGTACTCATTTACTCAAGTCAAGAAAAGCTATATGCTATTTTAATAATTAATAATTTAAATTGTGATAGCATACCGTTCGCCGTAGCTTTGATAGTCTATAACATTCTATCATTGATAATAGTACACTCTGAATGATCAGATAGCAAAAGCAGGTAATACGTAAAGATGTATATTCTCGAAATTCATCCTTATCATTCCTTTCATGAGAATTGCTTATCAAAATTAGCAATTTATTCTTTTTGAATCGGTCTAATGAGAAGGAAGTTTTCATAGCGTCTAAAATTGGAGCGAGAACTGTTGTTTGTTTTACGGTGCGTGTCAAACCGCTACTACTACTGCCGGTCTATACTTATCCGGAAAGGTCAGGGAGTTCCGGTGATCGTCGGACTTTCCTGATTTACTCGTTTAGCTTCAGTTTTTTTTTCTTTTTTTGCAATCTAAGTTGCAAACTATTTGTTTCCGAAGAGTTGTGGGATTTTTTGAAGCAATTGGATTGTTGCCGAGCTCCTTCTGATTTCTCTTTAGCTAAGTCATTTGTTGCTAATTTGTAATTTTGCTCAAGGCCTTATCAGAGTATGAGAACTGCGAAGAATTTAACGCAGTGCATTTTGTTTCCTATTGATGGGGGCATTTTCGTAAAGTCCCCAATATTAAGAAACATGCTTCTTGTTTTTTAGCTTTCTGTTCATTAATTTTAGCTTTTGTTCACCGTGCTAGAAACGCATTGAATTAGTTATTATCATTTCTAAGTAATCATCGAAAATTATCTTTGTCGTTTCTTATAAATAATCATCGAACTATTCATAAAAATACGTATTTCTTTTAACCATGGATAAAAATATTTCAGAAAAGACAATTATTCATATTGACAAACTGGATATATGGACGGTGATGGAGTGATTGTTGTTGGGGAAGATAAGGAATCATCAGTAGTAAATGATTTGTTAGGGTCAGAATCTGAAGAAATAATAAGGGAAAATGACGGAGATGACGATTTGGTGACACCGTGGGATGTTACAGCATCAAGCAAGAGAGGCATTGATTATGATAAATTGATAGGTTAGCATTGCTTTTCAACAAATTTACTTTTCAGAAAATCCGAGTTACTTTTCCTAAAATCTTGAGTTAGGTGATTTTAACGAAATTTAAAAAAGGGGTATGGACTTGCAATGCATTGATACAGGATTATTTGATTTTTTAACTCATATCTTTCAATTGTTATTCAAACTTTTGAAGTAAGAAATTTATGGTAAAAATATAGCAAGATATGAATGAAACGAGCTTCAAAGTCAAATCACATATGCACGATTATATGCAACATTTCTGCTACATCTTATGCCCTGTTCATTTTTCTTTCCTCACTAAGATTAAACTTTATTGATCTTTCAATAATATGTTAAATAGCAGAAAAACGTATTATTGATAGGCATTAAATTTAAACGTGCAGTTTTTGAATTATCAATTATTCATATAAACCCTGCAGATTTCTACTTTTTTAACGTATGTTATTTAATTTTCAGCGAAATTTGGATGTTATAAAATAACACAAGATTTGATCAATCGGCTTGAACGGATTATTGGCCAGAGGGCACATCCAATGCTGCGACGTGGACTGTTTTTTGCCCATCGGTAGAAATCACAAAGCATTTCTATTATATACTTATGAACACTGGGGGCTTTAGTTATCCGAATTTAGCTAGTTTCTTCTCAAAATAATTTGAACAAATAAGGGATGATTTCTACTTTGCAACTCTATTTTAGATTTGGATAGATGAATAACTCGGAAATTCAGTAGGTAAACAGTCAAAATAAAGAGTTGGAGTAAATGGTAGCTATCTTTTATTTTTCATTCATTGTGGAGAAAAGTTGCCTGGAAGGGATTTCATATATTTATAATTAAAAATTCAACAATAAGTCACTTATGCATTACTGTTTTGAATTTATTGATCATAAAGTTTTCTAGTGATTTGTCATTGATTTTGGATCGCTTGGAACAGAAAAAACCTTTTTTCCTATATACTGGCCGAGGTCCGAGTAGTGGTAGCCTGCATCTTGGGCATCTTATCCCATTTGTTTTTACAAAATGGTTGCAAGATGTATTTGATGTGCCTCTTGTCATTCAGGTTGGTTAATAATTTCACATTAAAATTACTGGATTGCACAATAATTTTTTTACATGACTCATCTTTCTTATTCTGCTCATTGAGCCGCATGTCTTTCATATGGCGTGTATATATTTATATGTCAAAAATTTTCAGATAACAGATGATGAAAAATTCCTTTGGAAGAACCATACATTAGATGAAATCAAGCATATGGCAAAGGAGAATATTAAAGATATTATTGCTTGTGGTTTTAGTCCTGATAAAACTTTCATTTTCTTAGATACTGAGTATATGTGGTAAGTATAGTTGTATTTATTTTTTGTAAGAATTGATGCAGTGACCGTCATGAGAATCTTTCGTTTGAAAAACATTCATTGTTTGTTTAGATTAATCAGTCAGTCTGGTTGAAACTAATTTCAGCCCGTCTTTTTTCACGAATATCTTGAAGATATGGAAACTTGTAACACTTAACCAAGCGCGGTCAATTTTTGGATTCACTGGTGAAGATTCGATGGGCAAAGCAGCTTTTCCTTCAATTGAAGCAGCTCCATGCTTCAGTAGTAGCTTTCCATTAATATTTGGAAAACGATCAGATATACCATGTATCATTCCATGTGCTATTGATCAGGTTCTTTTACGTCTGGAGAAGTTATATTCATATATTATTTTCATTGCATTTTTAAATCCAAGTCGTCTGATATGATCTTTCAGGATCCTTACTTTCGAATGTGTCGTGATGTTGCGCCGCGATTGAAATATTCAAAACCGGCGATGATTTACAGCTCATTTTTACCAGCTTTACAAGGTGCACAAAGCAAAATGGCTGCGTCTGATACCACCACATGTATTTATTTGGATGATACGCCTAAAAAAATAAAAAATAAGGTATTTGATTTTCTTATGTGACTTTTTAACAAGGACTTTTTCTTGAGCTTTTTGAAGCATCCTTAGCAGTTTTTATTTGCCAAGTTTTCTAACTGCTGGATGAAGGATTATATCGTTTGACATGTATAATCATCACTTTTTATCATTTCCTACTGTATGTGGATCTTGTGTTTCATGGATATTTTGACTGTTGTTTTGCTGTGCTTTGTAATATGTGTTTCTTGTTTCTCGCTAATATTTTTTTTCTCTTTCGTGGAATACTCGATAGATAAGTCGTCATTTAAAGAAGGAAGAAGTGACGGAGGTGAATTGGGAGCCTATGGAACTGTTTTTTCATCTTTTAACTAGATTCGTAAAGAAACATTTATTTAAAAAGTTTCATTTCAGATCAATAAATATGCTTTTAGTGGTGGACGTGATACAATTGAAGAGCATCGTAAATATGGTGGTAACTGTGATATTGATATTTCATATCAGTTCTTACGGTATTTCATGGAAGATGATGATGAATTAGAAAGTATACGCAAAGTAAGTTTTTAAATGTTATTTCTGGCATTTATTTATAAACGGTTTTTGTGTAATACTATTTGATAGCAATCGTTACTGAGAAAGAGAAATTGCAAATACTTTAATAAGGGACATTGACTCTTCTAAATTCATTTCATACTTTGATAATTTTCGTTTGTCTGATTATTGATAATAGTTTTATCGAAACTAAACTTCACCTTGTTTTACTACCCATTTAAATATCCTCTATATATTGAGCTAATTTCTTTTTTCAAAGTTTGAAGAATGATAAGTCTAGTAAATCGAGTATTTCAGCTGTCCTAACTTTTTTCAGGATTGAAAGTAAAAATGTTTTATTTGTCATTTTTTGCCTTGCTGTTGCTGATGTCATTTACATAGGCTTAATCTAAATTTTTTAGCGTTACACAAGCGGCGAATTGTTAACTGGTGAGCTTAAAGCAATAGCCATCAAAGAAATTCAACGGATAATGGCAGAATTGCAGCAGCGACGAAAAGAAGTGACTGACGAAATAGTGGAAAGTTTTATGATCCCACGAAAGTTAAAATATGATTACTAAGAAAGGAATGCAACTATTTATTTTTTTGAAATGTTTATATCAGATATTGGTTGACTTCGTTACTTTTATTTCATTGAAGGTTATGCTGAATGTTGTTTTTTGCTGCTTAGTTACGTATAAGTTTTTTGCTTAAACTTTTTCAAATTTTTGGGTGTAATCGTTTACCCTCAACAATTTGAGCAAAATAGTCCCTAGATTGATATAATTTTGTTAGTTTCACACATTTATGGACTAACTTTGTTGGTTTAAAATTTCTAAAGTTCCTGAGGGCAGTTATTTTATAAGTCTTTTTTGTTGTACTTTTTTAATTAGAAAAAAATTAAAATGAGAACATTTCACAACTGAAAAAATTTTCCTTTCTAATTTTCAAATTAGAAATTTTTGTAATACATGGAGCTCCAATAAGCCATTTCAAATTTTCAATGATTTTTTTCAGCTGAAAATATTGTAATTCATTTTTGCACTGTGATGGGAGGAAGTAAAGCGGTCCAAATGAGGGGAATATGATAGATGAAGAAATTCGCTTATTTTTAATCTACGCTTTATTCAGATTTGTTATATATTTTTTTCACACTGAATTTGACCTTCCTTAAATCCTAGAGATGTCAACATTTAAAACGCTTTGTTTATTAATTCTTTAATTTTTGGGATTTTAATATTTTGATATTGATGTGCTTTGTTGATTGGTAATTTTTTCGGTGAGTCGTTGGAGCAAATATCTGGTTAAAGCATAAATCAACATTTCACATCATTCAAATATCAATATTATTGACCATCAATAGCATAATTTAATGCTTAAAATTGGTTATCGTGCAGTCGAGAAACGTAGTATAGGAAGTTTTTTTATTTAATCATAATCCATGATTTTATGTCAAAAAATGAAGTTCAGTGGTGTAATCTCTCGGAGCATGGTCTGATTTCAAATTAATCTACAGTCCAAACTTTATTTTCTAAGTTTTATCAACATTTAAAGGTGGATCGTTTATTCGTTTATCTTTTTAGTAAAACAAATGCTCTATATTGGGACATACAGTCAGTTTGCGAATTTAAATTTGCGGTTGTAAATATATAAACATTGATGGAAAGTACCGAAAGTGAAATAGAAAAGTAGTGACTTTTATTGTTCAATTGATGACATAGAGAAACGACTTATCTTAATAAATAAAAAAGATAAGATGGACGATAAGGCAGGAACTGCCATCTGTGTTGAATATTCACTGTGATAAATTAGGAGAGGAGAATGTATCGACAAATTTCGTCGTTTGAATTTAGTCATTGCATTTTATTAGATTATATTATTGCCTAAGGGTATAGAACAATAGCTTAAAGTATTGCAATGATTTTACAAAGGTGTAATTTTATAATGCATGCCGATACTGTGTCCCTTGATAATATAAATTAGCAGTGAGTGGAGTAATGAAAAAATGTGAGAATTTGGAATAATTATAAATTCTTGGAAATAATCATAAAGACAAAAATTGAACAGTCCAGGATTGATTACTGATAAGATGGGATTTATTTGCAGTAGTATTAAGATTATTCCAATGATTGATAGCATTAAGAATGTCGATCTGATGATATTTCATTCAGAAGTATCAATAAAGCTACGTTTGATCTTGCTGTCACATTTCTTTTTGATTGTTTCAAAGTTTATTATATTCCAATACGGTAAAGTGAATCTGAAATGGTTCTACCACAATTATTGTCAATTTTAATGCAATGAATCCTCTGAATGACATACGTCAATAGGCCTTACAAAAAATGATGAATGTCTCTTTGATGAAATCGTTCAGGTTCTATATAAACTTTATACGAGTTATAGAAGATCTTCTCTGCAAGATAAGAATCGGAAGGACGCTTTTACTTCCATCTTCATTATCTTTCATACCTTTCAGAAATCCTTCAACAAAGAATAGCGCAAATAAAAAAGTCCAACCATTTAATCATTCTCAAATAAAACCTGTTTTAAAATTGCTAGGCATCATCACTCTTATTCTACTAGTTTTGTGAAAATATTGCAATTAGATGTAATCAATTCAAAAAAAAAAAAATGAATGGTAGTGAAATATCTAATTAACGTTTTAGTAAATGAAAAAAGGATCTGAATATTAATTGAATATTATGTGATACATTCAGTACCAATTAACTAATTATTAGGCATATATTTGGTACATATACTTGTTGGATATGGAAATGAAAGTGATCTTGGCACTTTTTCCTACAAATTATTGATACGACGATATCACAAGATAAGAGTGGTTATATTTAATTGAAATTTTTTAATTTGTAACATTTGTTTATTTTGTAAGTGACAAAAACGTCACTTCTGCTTTTTCCTTTGAAGTTCTTTTTTCAACAATGATTTTTTTAATATTAGTGTATTTTAATGACAAATATTAATTTCCCAACAAAGCGAGACTCTCAATCAATTAATTTGGTGGTTTAATAAATAAAATTCTCAAAATTTTCTGGAAAAAAAAAATTAAAGTATATATATCCGGTAAGCAAATACGGGAATTTGTTTTTTCTGCCTTAACAAAAATGCACAATTCTTTTAATAAATTTGAAAGTTTGGAAAAGAATTTTATAATGAATATTCATTTCTGATGCTTTAAAAATTGATAACTTTCGAAAGATAAGGAAATTACAATTCTAGATTGCTGTAATCAAAAATCATTTATTTGATTAATACAGCGTAACACGTTTATTATTCAACAAAATTCACTTATGAATTGTTATCGTACTTCATTTATTATTTTTGATATGAACTGATAATGAATACCACTTTAACATTTCCATATTGAACCTAAAAAACTGTAAATACCCAAATTGAAGTTTTACAAATGTCTTAGGAATTTTTGTGCAATTTTTAAGAGACAGTTTAATATTTTTCCAAAACTGCTCTGATATCCACTTTAATAAGCTTAAATATTTAGTAAATTATTAGTTTATATAAGCATTGAAGACAGTTTGCGATATTTATTTATTAGTTCATTGATATTTTGAAATCTCATCGTATTATTCTATTCTTTAATTTATTTAATTCAACAACATCGTTAAAATTAACAACATTCTACACTACAATTAAATAATTTTATCGCATGAAAAGATATGAATAGGTTAAATTAAATATTTTGTTTGAATTTACACGAGATGTTTATAATGAAAATTCATTACTGCATTAAAATATTGTGCTCTGATTTAATTCAATTATCGAATTCATCTGTCATTAGTCTGCATGATGTTAGTGCTTGCGCAAAAAGTTTCCTGCATAGAAATGAACGCAAAATTTTAATAATTTTAATGCTTAAATCATTTTTTATACATTTGAATGACTTTTTTCAATGTTTCCTTATCATAATCTGCAAATTATTATTCTCCAAATGATTGAAATAAATCATTATATGCTCCGATTCCGAAATTAATTTACATATTTTTTTAATTTTTGAGAGTGAAAAAAAAAAGAAATGCAAACTGTTAATTTCCATAATAAAATCATTTAATTATAGCTGCAAAACGGACGCCCCAATAGCAGCGAGTGGTTTCGATCCACCGACCTCTGGGTTATGGGCCCAGCACGCTTCCACTGCGCCACGCTGCTGATGTCTCGCTTATTGATTGGTAAATCTGACAATGCTTCCCATAAATTAAATCTTTAATTAAATTAAGAAGCGAACTATCAAAGTGAAAAATGAAAAGATTAGTTATCGCCTAATAATACTTTTAGGAAGTATAGGAAATGCTGGAAGCAAAATAATTCGAATTGAAATCTGAGAACAGAGAATGGTGACAGATTCAATCGTTGTTGTGAATGAATAATTTAATCAATTTGCTACTTTTTTTCCTTCTCAATCCTCAGATAACCTTCAATGTATCCCAGCTATATGAGGTCAACTATCGGATATACTTTGCAACTAATTTTCTGAAATGATATAACAAATACAATACTTAACAACTATTATTTTTGCTTATTTTTTTGAAATAAAAGAAATGTTATGGGATAAGAAGATTTGATAAAATATTAATGATCAATGAGAATTTTATTATCCATAAAGTGCAGCTAACATTATAATGTTCTCGCATATAATAATCTGTCAAATATCTTATGAGTAAAAAGGATCTCTTTCTCAAAAAAAAAAAAAAAAACTTTTAAAATTTCAACATATTAAAATTTTTAGAAATATATGTAAATATGTGAAAGTTTTTAAGAGAGCTTTGGAATTAATATTTATTTCTACTGATCCTTAATTGAAACATTAATCAAAGATGAGCGAATAAATTTTTTACTCGCTAATACGATTGAATTGTTTCTTGTTCATTCATTCATGCGGTTATTAAGCTTGAACTAGCCATAATTTACAGAGAGTAATATCCAAATTATTACTGGTAATAGAAACAATGTTCACAAGAATGATCATTCAGTTATTTAGCATGACCTTTTACTGCTGGCGCTAAACTTTAGTTCTTTGAACCTTAGGTTGAACTTTAGGTTTGCATTGAATTTTAGTTTACAAATCTCTTTTTTTGAATTGCATTTGATGTTTGGATGCTATCTGTTGATTTGACTGTTACTAAATCATGATATTGGCTTAGCTAGCATGTTCTGTCTTCTCGCCTATTATTTGTGAACTGTTCCATATCACAACTAAATGTAGAATTGAAATGCTAATGTTATTAATGGGCAACGATTATAATGATAATGCTATTAATTAGTAGCGATTATCGAATATATGATAATTTCTCCCCTAATATAAACATTGAGCTAAGTAGTACTTGTTAATCGATAAAATTTTATGAAGTACTTTAATCGATGCTACAGCTGTGTGGCAGAAAGTAATGTAAAAATATTTACGAGCTATTTATTAATTTATTATGAGCGGAGGGAATAATATCATTTCATACCGCTATGCGTGCTCTCAAATTAACTCACAAATTATTAATTATATTTATGGGCAGTTAGTAAATCTGACATGCTGAATAAATTTTAATTCATATTACTCTCTACATTAGTTCTCGTAATTTTATTTTCCTCCTCGTTTCGTTTCTTTTGCATACTGCATCTTAAAATTGTTACATTTAATTTGAATAACATACTATTTTTAATACCATCGATAAAGTTGTTGCTTAGTGAAGAATGATGTAATTTTAAATACTGAGATTTATTTTGTATTTTTAATGGATTCCAAGAATACATGCATTTAAAACAATGGAATAAAAAATGTCTCGTAATTTAAAAAACAAATAATAACATACAAAAACAAGCATACAATGAAAAAAATTTTATGTTGAAGATTTCAGTTGAAATAACTTTGAATTTGGAAATAATATTCATTAAGAGCTGATTGTATAAAACTTTGCTTTCGAACTTTCATTTTCACAAATGTCACTGTCACTTCAATATTATTCAATAAATAATACCAAATAAGTTATAGTTATAATTAGACGTTAGCTGTAGCATTGTATTGAATTTGTTTCTCTTATGTATAATAAAATTAGCATAAAATTCTAATACTAGGAAGGCATCATCATAGCTTCCTCACAAATATCATTAAAAAGGAATGCTAATTCGAATTGAATATTTTTACATTCTCGTATTGGCTTTACCTATTGCTACAGCAGAAGCTCCTGATTTGAGTAAGTCAAATTTTTTATTCATTATTTCAAATAAAATAACAGGTAGAGGGTTCTGGGCGGGATGAGCATGGAAAAGAAGGAAAGTCAAGATTAAGAAGTAAAATAGAAATCGTAATTTTGAGTTTATTGGTGAATAATGAAAAATGTTGACAACAAAGTTATGACAATCACAAGGGACAATTCAAAACTTTAAAATAATTCAAATTTGTTAGAAATTCTCAACAGCGTTTATTAACTTTTCTTCCGATTAAGTAGACTTCCACTTAAAATGTCATCAAATAGACTCATTATTGTTTTAACATGATGCTTAATTTAAATTTTAAGACAAAATTTTATTTTACCAAAATATAATGACAAACTTTAGGTTGTGAAGATATTGTCGCAACAGATAGTGGAAATGTAATGTATACGCAAGCCAATTATGCAGTAAAACATGCGCCAGGGACAACAGCGCTTATGATATGCAAATTTGGTTATGTCAGCTCATTCCCATTTCTGGTCTTCTGCCAGAAAGATGGCAAATGGAACGATAAACTTGGTCATTCTTCCTAAAATTAAACTATCCATCACATCTTCAATTACAGTATACTATAAGAGGAAAACTACATTGGACATTTGATGGTTTCTAGTCTGTAAGATTTTCTAATCTCTGGCAAATTATTTTTGGGTACTATTAAACTAACACCATATATATTTTACTAATTCCTAGACTATCCATACTCATGATTAGTTCATAATATAATATATTTACCTCAAATTATAATTAATCTATTTCAGGTGAATGCATATTAACTAGTAAGACTTGTGATCCTCAGAATTCTCAGCACAACATCATTTACATACCTGTACGTATTTTTATAATAATATGCATGTGCATGTATATGTATGCATGTATATTTGTTATGCTAATAAAAAAAAATATTGAAGATCAGAAGAAGCAGCAAAAATAGTGATAGTTTTTTTTTTTTATCTTTTTGTAGAAAGGATTCTAATGTTTGATCTGATTAAAAAAAAATCTTAAGAATTACATGTTCATTTTTTTTTACAAACATTCATGAATGAATAATAACTTTTTTCATGTTCACATGCTGCAAGAGAATGTTGAAAAAAATGAGATAAACTTTCTTTCATTTATGATATATAGCATTTAAATGAAAAATTGCGCTAATAGATTTTAACTTTGTTTTAATACACAACAGTTTTGCACGATCTTTGAGAGATTTTTTGTGTTCTTTTACAATCGTCTCAAACATTCAATTTATCTATTTGTCTATAATAGCATGACTTTTTTATCTTTTTACTAAAAAATAACAACAATTTCAGGTATATCATGCTTTCTCAAATAGATTATAAGGTTTTAATTTTATTTAAAATACTGGAAAATTTTTTTTTTATTTCAGATATAATAGGATAAGGAAGAAGAGAATAAATAAGATATCATAGAAATTCAAAATTATAACACTGTTTGTTATTTTACTTGTTGGAAAAAGAAAAGTTTTAAAATAAGTAAAAATGTCTCGATTTGCATATTTCGTTTCACTTGTTTATTCTTCTTTTTTTATGTCTATGTGTATTTTGTCTTCAATTCAATAATTTTATGAAATGCATGCATTTATATAGGACTACAATACTTGTTTGTAAGCAAATAAGATTTTGAGATCTCAAACAGTCTTATTCAGGCTAACTAAAGAAAATCAATAAATTAGTTAGGAATGCTAGACGGGAACTCATTTCGATCTACTTCCATTCATTAACTTGCAATTTTATGCATGAATGCATGAGATTGCAATACAATTACGCTGTATATGTTTCAGAAGATTTAATTTTCTTACCCACATTTACAATCAATTTCATTTTTTTGCAGCCAGGGACCTCTACTAAATATCCATCAGGCACATTTGCGATGTTGCAATGTTCTATGGATCAAGTGCCAATTGGGCAATCATCTGCTATGTGTTTGGACGGGAAATGGACTGCAGAATTAGGTGTCTGCAAGAAACTGCTTAATGATAATATTTCCAATGTCATAATTATTGAACCGAAGGCTAAATCAGATAACTTCATCCAATCACATAGTACCGCACAATTAGGTAATTATACTAAAGGCTGAATCAGTTTGTCATAAATTTTAATGTGTATCATATAATTATGCTGTTGATTCCAAAATTTAACTCATTTCCGAATAATAGCTCAATCATATTATGGTAAATATATTTATTATTTCTGTCAGTTTCTGTAATGAATGAAATATTGCATTTTCTTCAGAAATTACACCTGATAATACCGTTGGGAATTATGCAGAAGAGAAATCAGTAGTAATAAATATGGCTTCAACAAATGCGGAAAACATGACACCAACAAATGCAGAAAATATGACACCAACAAACGCGGAAAATATG